CTTGCGTGATTGCTCTGGCTAGGACTTCCAGTACTATGTTAAATAGGAGTGGTGACAGTGGGCATCCTTGTCTGATTCCTGTTCTTAGAGGGATAGCTTTCAATTTTTCACCATTGAGGATGATATTAGCTGTGGGTTTGTCATATATGGCCTTTATTATGTTGAGGTACTTTTCTTCTATACCCATTTTGTTTCCCCCAAGTTTTTATCATAAATGAATGCTGTATCTTGTCTAATGCTTTCTCTGCATCTATTGAGATGATCACGTGGTTTTTATTCTTCATTTTATTAATGTGGTGTATTACGTTGATTGATTTGCGAATGTTTTGAACCATCCCTGCATACCTGGAATAAATCCCACTTGGTCATGGTGTATAATCTTTTTAATGTATTGTTATATGCGATTTGCTAGTATTTTGTTGAGGACTTTTGTATCAGTGTTCATCAGTGATATTGGCCTGTAATTTTCTTTTTTTGTGTTGTCCTTGTCTGGGTTTGGTATCAGGGTAATGTCGGCTTCGTAGAATGAGTTAGGGAGCTTCCCCCCCTCCTCAATTTTTTGGAAGAGTTTGAGAAGGATAGCTATTAAGTCTTCTTTGAATGTTTGGTAGAATTCAAGAATTCTTTTGGTAGAAGCCATCTGGTCCTGGACTTTAATTTTTGGGGAGGTTTTTGATTACTGTTTCCAAGGAGTTCCTCTTTGACTCTTGGGTATTTTAAGAGAATGATTCTTAATTTGCCGCATAGAGTTCGGATTTGGGTTTTTTTTTAAATCCAGTTTGATAATCTTTGTCTTTTAACTGGAACGCTTAGCCTGTTTGCACATTTAATATAATTGATATATTTAGATTTATTTCTGCCATCTTATTTGGGGTAGTGGGAGTTTTGTTTTGTTTTTTTAATCTAGCTTATTTTGTGATTCCTTTTTCTCTATTACTTTTTTAAAATTTGTATTTAGTTTTTTAAATCCATTTATGCTGAGTATTAACTGATGTCTCTCAACTCTAAACACCCTTCTGTATTCTGGAACTTTGCAAACTACATTTCTCCTTTGCCATCTGGCTTCTTTTAGGTTATACAAATAGGGGGCACTAGAAGGAGACTGGAATGCTGGAGATAGGGAGAAGAGACTTTTACTCTTCCCATTTGCTTCCTGATATTGTCTGCATCACCTCAACAATGGCTTTTCTCCCAATAGCTGTTGTTCGTTCCCAGGCTTTAGCTTTTCTCTGACACTCTACAGGGTATCTCTTCTAGGCCTCCAGGTTCTAGTAATCCCACCCTCTTCCCTTAAATGTCATGTCCCTTGCTGACATTATCAGTTCTCCCAAAACCTGTTTAACCAATTCTTGATGTTAAATTCTTTCTTAATATAAATGATATGATTTCTCTTTTCCTGTGCCGTACACATTTGATTTTTTTACTAGTTTAATTGCTTTTGTCATTTGATGATTACCCTTTATTACAACATGCATATTCAGATAAAGTTAAACTAAAGTTAATCATTATCTTTACCTTTTGGCAGATTATAGTTTCCACAAATGGCCACAGCAATATTTCCAATCACACATGCTATTCTAGAAGCTTGCCACCCATCACCCAACACCATCCAGGGACAGAATCTGTTTCCGCTCCTCTTGAACCCAAACAAGAATTTATGACTGCCTCAACTAATGTAACAGAATGTAGCATATGTAACTCTGAATGACTTCTAAGGTTAGGTCATAAAAGGCTGTATGGCTTCCACTTGGCTCTCTCTCACTCTTACTTGCTCTCTCCTTCCTGAAAAGCTCACCCTTGGAATCCAGACATCATGTTTTGAGGAAGCCTAAAATAGCCCACATGGAGAGAAACTGAGGCCCCCAGCCTACAGCCAGCATCAGGTGTCAGACATGAGAGTAAGCAAGCTTCCAGATGATTCCAGGCCCTAGACTTAATGGAGCAGAGACAAACCATCCCTGCTGTGCTCTGCCAAATTCCTGACCCACAGAATCCATGAATGTGGATTGTTTATGCAAATAAGTTTGGGAATTATTTATTATGCAGACATAATAACTAGTATAACTCTAATTCCCAACTTGCATACTATGGTCATAGATTTTATTTTTGTTATGTATTTAATTCTGATGTCACATACTTTAATGTCTTTTAATTTTACAAGACTTTATTATTTTGTTTATATACTCTATGTTTGTATTTATTCACACACATATATCACTTTCTTTGCTTTTTATTCTTTTTTGTTTCTCAGGCTTACCATCTGGAATAAATTTCTTTCTACCTGAAATATTTCCTTTAGAACATCATTTTGTGATAGTCCACCGGTGGCATACTTGCTCATGATTTCTCTGTCTGAAAATGTCTTTATTTTGCCCTCATTCTGCAAAGATATTTTTGCTGAATGTAAAATTCGAATTTGGTCTTTATTATCTTTCAGCATGTTGGAGATATTTTTCTACTCTCTTATGACTTCCCCTATTGCTGTTGAATCAGCTGTCAGGATAAATACTGCACCTTTAAAAAAAAAATCTATATCTGCATTCATTTTATGCAGTTTAATTATTATGTGTTAAATAATTAGCCTGTGTTAAATATGTGTTAAATAATCCTGGGTGTGAATTTCTTTTTACTAATCCTTTTTGGGATTTGGTCAGCTCTTTGAATCTAGATTTGTGCCTTTGGTTAGTTCTGAGAGAGTATCAGATATTACTCCTTCACATATTGCCCCTCCCCCCATTCTCTTTTCTTCTATGGCGACTCTCATTAAACATGGCAGACTTACTCTGCCTTCCATGTTTATCACCCTCTCTTCTATATAATCCAGTTGTTTTTGTCTAGTCATGCTTTATTCTGTATAATTTCTTCTGACTCATATTCTAGTGTACTTCTCTTCATTTGTTTAGTATGTACTTACTATTATAGCCGTCCGTTTTGTTTTTAATTTTGGTTGTATTTTTCAGTCCTAGAAGTTCTGTTTGGTTCTCTTTTTTAAAGCTGCTGGGTCACTTTTTATAGTTTCCTATCCCCTGCAGATATTTTCTAATATTATTTAAACTATGAGGGCCATTTTATGGTCTTCGTCTGCCAATTTCAATAACTGCAGTTTTTGTGACTCTCCTCCTATTTCTCCAGACTAAATGTGTTGGTTGTCTCCTATTAGACTCTCCACCTTGGTCAGGCCCTGGGCTTTGATTTCTCTCTCCCTTGTCCATTCCGTTTCACTTTATTGCAGTCAACCACGTTGCCTCGCCATCTTTAGGAGTCCATTTTGTTGAAGCTTTCTATATTAAGCACTGTATTTTCTTATAGAATACAAGAATTCACTCTTAACATTTCGAGACGGTAACAAATTGGAGCTCTTTAGTCTCTTTCTTAACTGTATTTGGACTAACTCAATTGTAAGGCCTTGAGAATAAGAGATAGATTAGATAGATAGATCTTTGAAATCTTTGCATCAGTTAACGTACTTGGTATCACAGATTTTAAAGAAGTAGTTTGCCAACTTTGTGTGTATAGCAAATTTTATTGTGGTGTATGATAAAAAGCAGATTTCTGGACCAACCCCAGAAATTATCTGAAGGAGGCTTAGTATTCTGCCTATTTTCAGGCATCCCAGATAACTTATTGAATTAGTTTGCCAGGGTTGCCATAACAAATACCACAGACTCAGTGGCTTAAACAACAGAAATTTATTTTCTCACAGTTCTGGAGCCTAAAAGCAAGGTGTCAACAGAGTTGATTTCTTCTCTTTGGCTTATAGATGGTCATCTTCTCCCTCTGTCTCACATGGGCTTTCCTCTGTTTGTGTTTGTGTCCTAATCTCCTTTTCTCATAAGGACACATCTTTATAAGATGTTGGAGCTAAGAGGACCTTAGAAATCCATTCTAACCATTTCATTTTTTCAGATGAGGAAACCAAAGAAGCCAAACTTCCAAATAATTAGAACCAGGAGTGGAGTATAAGCCATATCTTTTGTTTCTTAGTTGATTGCACAAGTGATTCCCAAATTGAATGACCCTCAAAATCAATTTAACAGCTTGTTTTTCAGGAAAAAAAATATTAAAAAATATCCCTGAGATTTTGATTCAGTAGATCTAGTGTGGGGCAGAGGAATCAGTATTTTTAAAGAATTCTGAGTGATTATAGTCAATCTGACTGTGTTATACTTGTGAAATGGATAATTATATAGCCTTTTACCATCCTTACCATTAATGTTTTTACAGAAGGAGGTATGGGTTGCTTTAGAGCTAGCAGAAAGACAACATCAGGGAAAAATATGGAAATTGATAAATTTCATTTATTTCCAGTAACAAAAAATGTAGCATAGAGTATTTCCATTGGGAAAGGGCTTTTCCTAGTACATTTCATGTCTCTGGTTTCTAGCTACCTAATTAGAATGACTTATATTTGATAAATTGGTCAGATCAGATTTCAAGAAAACCTAGTGAGGCTTTTTTGGAATTCCTAGAATTTACGAGAACTAGAAAATCTGCTCTGGAAACTGTATAGACAGAAATGTATTTATCTGAAGCCTAGAGAAATAAAAACTTCATTTGGAAAAGATCATATGTTTTCAACTTATATCCGTGCATGGGAATGCATATATCTCTGAGTTGCCCTCACAGCTATATTCTGTGGTTTCCTGCTGAATTGGTTTCATTCTGATAAGATAATGAAATTGTATGCTACAATGTTTAATTCTGGTGTCCAGCTAAGTGACTTGGTAATCAGGATCAGGAAAATAGAGGTGATTTTCTTTAAAAGTCAGATCTTCCTTTTGAAAATAATAAATTACCAATGTACATGAAGAAGGTAGGTTTCCCATTTTGGTTCATGCAATATGTAGATTTTTCTTCAGCCTCTCTCCTCTCCCTTCTATGGTGGGTTCTTGGCCTAGAAATTGTGGGTGGAGAAGCTTGATTAAATAAAGAACCAGTATGGAGGAACAGGACAGTTTTTTATTTTCAATGTGAATTGATTTTCCTGCTTGTACATGGAACATTGGTGGTGTGTTTAATAAATGTTAATTAAATACTGAATATTCAGATGCTTTTTTTAATTTTTATTTTATTGACTTGTAACTTGATTCCTAGTAAGTTTTTCTCTAGGAAGCATTTTTTTCTCCCTGGCTAGCTTAATATCAGGTACCTACCCTACCATATTTTAAAGTGGCTTTTAGTTTAAACTGCTAATTTCTGAAGTTGGGAAAAATAAATTGAGGAGATATCTTTGACCATTCTGGTTCCATCATTGTTCTTGCCCTCTGGTGTCATCTCTTGAAAGCTGAATGCTGACATGGGTTAACAAGGATCAAAGAAAATCTCATTTTCTTTTTGGTAGTATTTTATTGGAAATAACTTTCTCCAGGTCTCCAGATTTTAACCCTTAGGTGCACTACATCTCCCATTTCCCAACTTAAGGCAAATTAAAGCTAAGGGCTCTAGCATTCCCACTATGCCCCAATTAGGTGAGCCCAAACTCCTGAAACAAATGTAGGGTTCCCCAAAGTTTCGTTTAAACTTCAGCACTATTTGTCAAGATGGGTTTTAATCTTTTTGTAGTTTTTCTTATAAAGGCCTGTTTCTATTCATTTACTCTTCCAGTTTACTTTTCTGTCATCTTTCTGCTTTTGAAAGAAAATATATTACAGAAGATAGTCTGATTATTTGAAGTATCTCTCCATGTGCCGCTCTAATTCCATCTTTTTATATGTCGTTTCATAATCCTTATAACAAGGAATCTGAAATACAGAGAGGTTGAGTAATTTGTTCCTGATCACAAAGAAAACTGAACCAGTTCAGCCACCAGAGCAATGATAATCTGGTTGTCTGTTTCTAAAAGTATTGACATTTTACATGAACAGCCCATTTTTGGTTCTTTCTTTCCATTCTCTCTTTTTTCTCTTGTGGCCCTGCTTTGAGGATGGTCCCAGTCAAGGTGCTGCACTGTAGCAGTGGCAGCATGAGCACCTAAAACCCCAAGAGAAAACTCATCCTTCTGGTCAGAGAAACCAGGAAAAGTGGGCCCTGTGGTCTGAAGAATGGGGCGGGGGGAGTGGGGAATGAGAGAGGAAGGCTGGAATTCGTGTTTTTTTCTTTGTCTTCTCTTATCTTTTGCCCCAAGGGCAGCCCTGGTCTCACAGAACTACATGGCAGCACAGGTAGCTACAACTCAAGAAGCCCCATCTTTCTACCTAGAAGACCAGGAAAAAGGAACCTGGTAGCTAGAGAGTGTGTGGGAAATCCTGGAGAAGTGAGAGAGCTAGAAAAGAGCATCCCCTAGTTTTATATATGAAGTGACACAAGTTCTAGGCTCACCTCTGAGCTGTGCATGCACAAAACAGATATAAAACAGATAGCAAAGGCTTTAAGAACTAAACTAAGATATAAACCACTGCCTGAGTCCCAGCCTAAGCTCAGAGATACACATGCATGAGACAGACCCAAAGCAACATAACAGTGGCTTTGAAAACTGAACTGATGCTGGAACCCCTTCCCACAGAAAGTAAGGCAGAACTGGGTCAGTCTATTCAGAATGATTGCCTGCTTTAAAAAAGAAAAAAAAAAAAGCTCCAGAGAATTTTGAGAGGACCTAGAGGCTCATGCCATAATGTTCAAAATGTCTACAATACAATTCAAAATTACTTGATAAACAAAGAGCCAGAAAAATATGACCAATTCTCAAGGAAAAACACAACAGATGCCAACATTAAGATAACCAAGATGTTGAAATTATCAAAGTCTTTGAAGAACTATGTTCCATGAAGTGGTGATAAACACTCTTGAAACAAATGGAAGGATAGATAGGCTTGACAAAGAAAAACTATAAAAACCAAGCAGAAATTTTCAAAATGAAAAAATATCTGAAATAAAAGATCCACTGGATGGGCTCAGAAGTTCTTCAAGTTGAAGGGAAATGATACCATAGGAAAAAGAAAACAACAGGAATGGAAAATATCTGGGTAATAATAGACTAGTTTTCTCAAATTCTTTACTATATTTAACTGTTGAAAGCAAAAATTATCATTTGTTGGAGTTTTCAATGTTATGTAGATGTACTATGACAACTTAAAGAGGGGAGAGTAAAGGAACCTATATGGTTGCAAGTCTTCTGCATTTTCTTTGAAGTAGCAAAATTATTGACTCTACATAGATTGGGAAAATTTAGATATGTATATTGTAATTTCCAGAGCAGCAACCATAAATAATAATACAAGAATAGCCAAAAAGTCAATAAATAAAAATGGAATACTAAGAAGCAATCAGATTATTGAGAAGAGAGCAGGATTGAGGTTGGGGCCACAGAGGAAAAACAAGTGACAAATAGACAACAATAAAATATTGGACAAATCCAACTGTATCAAAAACCATATTAAATGTAAATAAAGTCAGAAATTTTCAGATGGGATTTTTTTTAAAAAGCAATACTTAAATATATGTTGCCTCCAAGAAACCTACTTTAAATAGAATGACATAGATAAGAGTAACAGGATTGAAAAAGAAAAATGATGCAAACACTTTTTAAAAAAATAGTTGGAGTGGTTTTATTAATATCAGACAAAGTACACATCAGGACAAGGAAAGTTAACATAACGATAAAGGAGTTAATCCACCAAAGAGAGATAATCTTAAAAGCATATGCACCCTGTGGTGGACAGACTTTAAGGTAACCCACATGATTCCCATTTCCTGATATTCACGAATTGTGTAAACCCCATATCTTGAGGGTAGGTTGGACCTGTAACTTACTTCTAACGAATAGAATATGGCAAAGGTGATGGGATGTCCTACCATGGTTATGTTACATTATATGACAAAGGTCATTCCCATGATTATGTTACATTATATAAGACTCCATCTTGCTAGTAGATTTGCTCTATAGTCCCTCCTCCCTTCTGCCTTCACTCCCTTCCCCTACCCTTCATTGCTATCTTTGAAGAAGCCAGCTGCTATGAATCCTACAGCTGCAAGGAAATGAATTCTCCAAACAACCTGAGTGAGTTTGGAAGTGGATGCTTCCTCAGTCAAATCTCAGATGACCCAGCCTTAGCCAACACCTTGACTGCAACTTTGCAGAAGACCCAGCTAAGCCAAACCCAGACTCCTAACCCACAGAAACAGGAAAGGATGGAGTAAGGGGAGAGAGAGAGAGAATATGAATATTTGTATACAAATAATCTATCACTGGAGATGCAGAACTACTGAGGTTTTAAAAAAAGGCATTAGACATAAACATGGGTTTGGATTCCAGTTTCACTTAACTAGCTGTGTTTCTGACTTGACTTCTTTAACTAGCCAGCATGAAAACTACTTAAATGTTGCTTTTCTTGATCATAAGATGGAGATAATAATCATACCTTCCTCATAAGATTGTTAGGAGAAATAAAATGAGACAATTCGCGTAATCCTGGCACCTCACACAGTGCCTGGCACGTAGTAAGTATACGGTGACCAGGGCTCTAGGACTTGCGATGGTCCTTTCGTTTTTCTGAAAGTGACAGTTTTCCTCTAGGAAGCAGGGAGGTTGCTTTTTCCTTCCCCAGTGCTATGCTTAGGCATTGATTCATCGATTTATTCTACCAACATCCATCAGTTTCCACCCTGCCAGGCCCTGGGCCAGAAGACTAATTCAAAGACTTAGAAAAAATGAACCAATTCCTTGAAAGACACTACCAAAATTCACTCAACAGATAATCTGAATTGTCCTACATCTATTAAAGAAGTTGAATTCATAGTTAAAAACCTTCCAGCAAAGAAATCTTCATACCCATAAGGCTCATTGAGTAAATTCTACCAAATATTTAAGCAAGAAATAATACCAATCCTACACACACTTTTCAGACTATAGAAGAAGAGGGAATACTTCCTAGCTCATTTTTTGATGCCAACATTACATTAATACCAAAACTAGAGAAAATAATTATTTTAAAAAAACAGATAATACATTATGACCAAGTGGGTATATGCAAGGCTGGTTCAAAAGTGAAAAATCAAACAACTGATTCACCATATTAACTAAATAAAAGGAAAAATCATGTGAGCATCTCAGTAGATACAGAAAAATCATTTGACAAAATTCAATATCCATTCATGATTTAAAAACAAACAAAACACCTCTCAGGAAACTAGGAACTTCCTCAATCTGATAAAGGGCATTTTTTAAAAAAACCTACAGCCAACATCATACTTATTAGTGAAAGATGGAATGTTTTTCCTTTAACGTTTTTTTTCCCCCCAAAGCCCCAGTAGATAGTTGTATGTCATAGTTGCACAGCCTTCTAGTTGCTGTATGTGGGACGCGGCCTCATCGTGGCGGGAGAAGCGGTGCGTCGGTGCCTGCCCGGGATCCGAACCCGGGCCGCCAGCAGCGGAGCATGCGCACTTAACCGCTAAGCCACGGGGCCGGCCCAAATGTTTTTCCTTTAAAACTGAGAGCAAGGCAAGGATGTCCACTCTCATCATTTCTATTCATCACTGTTCTGGACATCCCAGCCAGTGCAATAATACAGGAAAAATAAGTAAAAGGTATCCAGATTGGAAAACGTCAACTGAAACTGCCTCTATTCACAGATAGCATGACTTCTACATAGAAAATTCCAGAAAATCTACAAAAAATAAGCTTTTAGAAATGAATAAGTGAGTTTAGCAGAGTCTTGGAATACAAGGTCAATATACAAAAATCGTATTTCTGTATACTACCAATAAACAATTGGAATTACAAAACAGTATCATTTATAATAGCACCAAAAAACTAAATACTTAGGTATTAATCTAACAAAATATATACAGGATCTATATGCTGTAATCTACAAAGAACTGTGAAAGAAATCAAAAACAACCTAAATAAATGGAGGTATATACTTATTCCTCAATTAGAAGACTCAAGATGTCGGTTCTCCCTGAACTGACCTACAGATTCAACCAAGTCCAAATCAAAACCCAGGAGAATTTTTCTGTAGATAACAACAAGCTGATTCTAAAACTTTTACTGAAAGGAAAAGAAACTAGTCCAAACGATTTTGAAAAGAACAAAGTTGGACTCATACCTCCTGATTTCAAAATTACCGTAAAGCTACAGTAATCAAGATAGCATAGTATTGGCAAAAGGTAGGAACATATATCAATGTAAACTGATCCATAAAAATATAGTCAGTTGGTTTTTTACAAAGGTGCAGAGGCTATTTAATGAAGGAAGGATGATCTTTTTTTAACAAATGGTGCTAAAACAATTACATACCTAAATGTAAATAAAATAAACTTTGATCTATTCTTCACACCTAAACAAAAATTAATTCCAAATGGATTATAGACCTAAATGTAAAACATAAAACTATAACACTTCTAGAAGAAAACATAGGAAAAAAATCTTTGTGATCTTGGATTGGGCAAAAAATTCTCAGATATGACAACAAAAGTATGATTTATAGAAGCAAAAATTAATAATTTGTACTTCATCAAAATTTAAAACTTATGCTCTGCAAAAGACACTGTTAAAAGAATGAAAAAACAAATGGAAAATTTTTGCAAGTCACATATCTGACAAACAACTTGTATTCAGAATATGCACAGAACTGTCAAAACTCAACCATAAGACAGCAAACAACCTAATAAAAATATTTTTTTTATTGAGCAAAAGATTTAAACAGTTATTTTACCATATTAGATATATGAATGGCAAATAGCACATGAAAAGATGCTCAACATCATTAATCATCAGGGAAATGCATATTAAAACCACAGAGAGATAGCACTATACTCTTATTAGAATAACAGATGAGTGGTGTAGGTCCATGCCCGGGAACCAAACCCAGACCGCCAAAGCAGAATGTGCTGACCTTAACCATTAGGCTACCAGGGCTGGCCCTAAAATAACTCTTTTTAAAAATGACAATACCAACTGCTACCAAAGATGCAACTAGAACTCTCAGACATTGATGGCAGAGGTGCAAAAAGGTAGGACCACTTGTGAAAACAGTTTGGCAGTTTCTTATAAAGTTAGACAGACACTTATTATATGACCAAGTAATCTCATTCCTAGATATTTGACCCAAGTGAAATGAAGACTTGTGTTCACATAAAAATCTGTATATGAATATTTATATAGCTTAATAATTGCCAAACACTGGAAACAACCCTAATACATTTAAATTGATGGATGAATAAACAAACTAGCACCACCAAACAGTGAAATACTATTCAGCAATAAAAAAGAAAAAATTAGTAATACAACACTTGTGTGAATCTAGACATTATGAGGAAAGAAATCAAAATGTTCCATACTATGATTCCATTTATATGACCTTCTGGAAAATGCAAAACTAGAGGAATGGAAAATAGATCAGTGGTTGCCAGGGATTGTGGGTGAGAAGAAGGATCGACTAAATATGAAGATTTTGATTGTGGTGGTGGTTGTCAAAACTCATGGCACTGTATACTAATAAAGAGTGAATTTTATTGTAATTTTTTCTTTCCAAAAAATTGAATACTTTTTGAAAGAAATATAGCTCCTGTATGTAAGACATACCACACTTGGAATTATTTATTCATTTCACAGCTTCTCCTGTACTAAAAGCTCCAAGAGATCCATACTTTATCCTCAACATTAAGAATTTCTAGCCCAAGGACATATAGCTACCCTTCTCTCCTTAACTGCTCTGAGATCTCAAGTAAGAGATCCTGGGCCAACCTCTTCAAGGATTAAAGACCACATGAAGAGAGTGGTTCAGCCAGCCCCAGCTGACCACCAGCACCAGCTGTGTGAATGAGGCCAAGTTGGACCATCCAGCCCCAGTCAAGCCACCAGCTGGTTATAGTCGTATCAGTGACACCAAGTGAGACTAGCAGAAGAACTGCCCAACTGAATCCAATCCAAATTGTTGAGGCACAGAATTGTGAGCAAAAAAAATGGTTGTTGATTTAACCACCATGTTTTGGGAGTGGTTTATTACACAGCACTAGATAACTGACACAATATCATTCATGGAGGAGGCTAATTATATTGGATTCCCCTCTCCCCTAAAGATTTTTTTATTTTAGAGATGTTACAGGAAATCCTTCGCTCTCTGAAGAAAAAAAAAAAAAAAGGCTTATATTAACAGCTCATTCCCAGAGATTTCTATTAGGTGGTGTTTTCCTGCATAAAGCCCAGGTAATGTATTATGCCGGCCATATCTATAGTAATGTGTTCATCCCTTGTGGTTATATTTTAAGAGAAATGTTCAGAAATTAGTGTACAGAGAAGGTCAAAGATGAGAGTGAGAGAGCTGAAGGAACTGATAAGGGATAGATGACAGAGAGACTAACAGACTAAGACTAAATGGCTGTTTTTAAGTGTGTGTGTGTGTGTGTGTGTGTGTGTGTGGAGATCAGCCCTGTGCTAACATCTGCCAATCCTCCTCTTTTTCTGCTGAGGAAGACTGGCCCTGGGCTAACATCCATGCCCATCTTCCTCTACTTTATGTGGGATGCCGCCACAGCATGGCTTGCCAAGCGGTGCATCGGTGCGCGCCCGGGATCGGGACCAGCAAACCCCAGGCCGCCGCAGCGGAGCGCGCGCACTTAACCACTTGCTCCACCAGGCCAGCCCCTGTTTTTAAATATTTGATGGGCTTTTTAAAACCCTGTGTTGTTTTAAAGCCAGAAATTGGGTTAATATGTAGAAATTAAAGGAAGAAATGTTTCACACTCAATATTAAGGAAGAATTCTCTAATATGAAAGCTAACCAAAAGTGAACTATGCTGCCTCAAAAAGTAGGTGCAACTATCATTAGAAATTTTCAAACAAGCTAAATGGTCACATCTTAGAGATGTTTTCTGTACTGAGTGTGCAAGTGATTCCTATACAGACACTGTGCTGGATAATTTTCAAAAGTTCCTCCAGACTCTTAGTTTTGGCATCACAAGACTCATAGCCATGTTTTAAAACTTGGACTTTTAAGCTTACTATCCTTTTAATTAGTGAGACTTTCTAGATATGTCATGAGGCAGGTAGCCAAAGTTGTTTTCCCCTCATAATCTGTAGGAACAGGGACTTGTTTTGGTAACTGAATCTAAACAAGCTGGAGGTATTTTGTTTCTCCTGTTTACAGCTTGTTTCAAACGATGAAGAGAAACTATCACATCCAGCCTGCCCTGCTCTGCCAAAAACTGGACTACAGACAGGACCAGCCTCATGGTCGTCTGAACTGTGCAGTTGCACAGGGTCCCATGCTTGGTTTAATGGTCTGCTATCACTGTTTTGAAATTCTTAATAATTTATGAACAGTGGCCCCAGAAATTCTGTAGCCAATCGTGACTACAATTTTTATCTGTAGTTCCTCACTACCCACTCACTCCTTGTTATCTTGCACTCTGACTTCTGCCTTTATGGTAGAATAAGACCTCTCTCTCAAATCATCTACTGCCTAATGGCCAGTTCCCATAGTCTCTCCTTAATCCTCATCTATTTTAATCTGTCTAGAGCATCTGACATTGTTGACAGACCATACCTTTAAATTCACGGTTTGTTTTCCATGACTCTATATGAGTATGCTTTTCTTCTTATCTCTGAACTTGTTTGATAAAGCCAAGTAGAATGATGGAATAAATAGTCACAATACATGCCTCAGGGTTTTTCTTTCTCTGGAATGAACCTATACTTTATCCCCCAAGATGTATTGGTACTTCCTTATTTTAACAGAGTCAGTGACAAAATGATTTCCAAATGGATAAATTTAAAGGCTGAACTACAGTCCTACCTGGTTGGTATTACAAATCATATACAGGGTTTTTTGTTGTTGTTTCGTTTTGCTTTCCTTAATACAGCAATAAAGTGAAGAACATACCAAGGGTTTCATCAGTTGAATATATAAATGGTCGTAAATTTCCTCGAGTCTCCTTCATGAAATAATCAATGACGCTGAAAAGATTTGGGAGTGTAACCTGTGTAAAGATAGAGTAACAGAAAGCTCAACTGAAATTTACTGGAGATTACTGTATATTTCCTGACCTCCAGAAAATCATGTCAGTACCTCACTTAAATGGCTTACTGAATGGCCATGGTTTTACCCACTCATGCATTTTATTTCTCCATTATAACCATATCTGATTTCTGTTGAGGAATTATCCCTTTCCCATTGGATGCATGCTGGTGGACAATAATTAGGTACTCTGCTCTTCCCCAGTCATCCATAAGAATGTGACTCAAGTTAGTCCAGAAAAGGCTCCCTTCCTGAAATTTGAACTTGAGTAGAGGAATAGGAAAGAATAGCAGATTCCTAATCAGATGGTTCTTACTATAAGTAACTGCTTCCTAGTCCCTGGAGGTTTTCTAGCCTTCCAGTCATTCTGTGTGCTTCCTGTGTTCTTCAAATAAAGTCATTTTTGCTTAAGTTAACCACAGTTAGTTTCTTCTGCTTAAAACCTCAGAACCCTTAAAGCCAGAGAATTTAGCATTTTAATATCTCATTGTAACAGGATAATTTACTTGGCTAGGAGTAAGTGAAATCTGTTGCTACTCCCAAATCAATATTTTTATACAAGTAAAATCAGGTTAAATCTCAATATCCCTAGTAACCTTGAAGAGGAAAAAACATTTACAAAATGATGACCTGGTTTAAGTGTAGGGTTGGGGAGTGTGAAAGGTGAAAAAATAATCCAGGCTGTTAGCTTTCCTTACGCTGGGGACTGTTTGGGCTAATGACAGGTAGATGAGCCCCAGTTCACTGGTTGCAGAGGCATTTTCTTCTTCTCTGACAATTGCTTCTAGTCACTTGGTTATTTGGATTATCCTTCAGCAATCTAGTTCTCTGTGTCCTTCATTAGAATTTTTGAAAAAGCCCAGTCAGGCATGGACATGAGAACTGAGAAGCTCTGGGAAGCATTTAGGGCAAAGATGTAAGGTGGGGTCTATGAATCAGCAGTTGTCTTGCTCTTGGCAAAGGTCACTACTGCACTCTAAGGGTTATGGTCAAAACACAAGAAATTGAACCATACTGACCCTTTCTCTGCTTGATCAACACAATGGGCCTGGAGAGGCAGAGGATCTAGGAGCTCAATTTTAGAGAAGATGTCATAAATATCTTCAAGACCCACTGGTTCCATTTAAGTGCTATCACTTTCCTGGCCTAATCTTCCCACCACTGCAGCCTAAGATTACAGAGTTATATTCCATTTTTTCCACCACCCTGGGCCATAGGCCACATTACTACATTCTCATGGGTTGAGACCAGTGTAAATACCAGTTCTCCCACCTGTGTAATAAGCATTACCTCAGGGTAATGATAAGGATTAAATTAGATGGTATATGTCAAGTACTTAGCTCTGTGCCTAACATAGTATCTAATGGTTACAATATTATATCATTAGCCCCATGATAAGTCACTTGGGATAGGAGAGGGGTTGCAGACAAGGAAGAAACCCTTTCTTCACTATTATGTTGCTATTAAGAGGGGGGTTTTTGAACTTCTGCATGGCGGGTATTAGAAGATTAAGCATTCACAGATTTTTTTCCCATTAGAAATAAGCACAATGAAATATTTATAATTGAAGGATGTAAAATAGATGCTTAACAAAAATATTTTTTCTCTCCCTGAAAAAAATTATATTGATAAAGATTTGCAGAGAAAGAAAAGTGGAAAGAATTATTAGCAGATTATCTTCTACTCTGCCTCATTCACCTGCTCTTGTGTCTCACTTCTCATCCTGGATATCTAAGGATGAGCCCTCACCTCCAGGGCTCCTTAACACTGCTGTTTTTCACCAGCACTATGTTCCTAGGCAAGGAAGGAGTCTACCTTTCCACTTTTCTTTGTATTCTATAAGGTAGGTTTGGGAAGAAGAAGGAGAAAATTCAGCAACAACAAGGAAATAGCTACTTACAGGTTTTTCCAGTTCAATAGTGTAGTTGTTTCCTACACTCATCACTTTGTAGTGCTTGATTCTTGGCATGCTAAAATGAAAAAAATGGTTAATCTCCATAAGAGTATACTATTGGGTCAAATTAAAGTGAGTGTAAAATATCACCTGTATAGTAAAACCTATGTTCCCATGACTGTGGTTGGCAAAAAACTGTGGTGGTTTTTGTTTTTCTATTTACCTGGTTCTCTCTATCTCTTTTTGGGAGGTTATACACTAGGGATATAGGAAGCCTAGGTCATTGAGTGGGTAAATGAGAAAGAATAACAGAGAAAAAAAGTTACCAAGAATTGAAAGTCTTTCAGGAATAAATTATTTTTTTAAATGCCAGTAACTTACAAAGTAGACAACATTATAAAATCCTATGTAGGCATATACAAATCAAATACATATTCTCTATATTAAAAGGGAAATAGAAAGAATTACTGAGGGCAAATTACTTTCTACTCCACCTCATCACTGTTCCAAGCAGAAAACCCTCAATGGCTGTTCTTCTTTCTAGCTCATATACCACCTTGAACATTTGCTAACTTCAGGGCTGATTTAGAGATATGGAAAATGCTAGGTGTTAGAGATACGGAAAACGTAGGTGAGAATGTAAGTACAGCAGATGACTCTTAATGTATTCCTCTTCTAGAGTCTCATAGCACTCTAAATTATTACTGCCCTAAACACACTGTATTTCATTGACTAGACTGCTTAAGAACAAGAAGCACATTCTGTTCACCTTTGTATTCCAGCATTAGGCACACAATAAATACTTAGGAAACTGAATTTTAAAATATTAGGAGGCCATGTCATAGAGCTATTTGCTAGAACTAATTTATACTGAGAGCAGAAGTCAATATGTTTGCCTTGAATTCCCTTGATTCATATGGCAACAGTGTTAGGACCAAGACTTTTTCTATTGTTGAAAAGTTAACAGCATTTATTACGCTGCCATTTGCTTGAAAGACAAACGAATTAACATATGTCCAATTTATAGAAGTTGTCTAAAGCAAAATTGTTTATTAGTTTAGGTTTGTCTACACAGCCACCCACCTTCTTTTTCATCACTCCTGTCTCTATTTCCAGGTCACGTTCCTCTAGAACTGAACTACACTTCTATTCAAGGGACTCTCTCATCTACTCATATCTGAATCTTCTCTCAGCTGGATATCACATTGGAAAACAGCTAATCATTTTATTCCAGTGGTTTATTCTAGAGCTTTACTTTCAAAACAAGGGGTAAAACTTAAACAACTCTCTCCCTTAAAAAAAAAAAAAAAAAAAGGCTATTTCTCAATGCTGAACCTTCAGAAATCAGTTACAGACTGATGAAGGAAACATTTATGGACAGAGGAGGTCTTACAAGTACCCTCTTTTGGGGTGGTTGGCTCTGGCATTCTTTTTATCCCTACCTGAAAAGAGGTATATAATCATACAGTTACTTTGAAAACTCGCGCCAATTCCAATTAGAATGCCTGTATTCCTAAATGATTAATAAATACATGATTATTATTCCTTGGAAGACTGATAGAACGATTGAAGGGCATGGCCTTTATAACCAGAACGATCTAGGTTCAAATTCTCATTCTGTTGTGTGTGCTCTCTGAGCCTTCATTTCCTCATCTATAGAATCGAGATGGTAATGCCTTTCCTCACAGGGCTCTTGTAAATTAATGTTTGAAAAGTTCTTAGTAAAGTGTCTGGAATATTTAAACACTCAGTAAATTATAACTATTTTTTTGCTGTTTTTAAAATTCATTGTTTTAACCTAGTAGTTTCTGTAAGTCTCAGCTTCTTCATTTGGAAAACATGGAAAATAACGTCTGTTTTAGCTTTCATTGTGCCTGAAGGAAATGTTTGTCAAGCACTCAACACAGCACCCACAAATGGTATCCTGTGAGTGGGGACAATGATTGTTGTTGTTAGTAATTGCCATCACATCATCATCATCATCATTCATGGCAACACTGTGGGAGGAAAAGTAGCAAAGATTAGCAGAGTCTCTTGGAACTTTTGACTAATAGGACTAAGCTCTGATGCAGAAAATAAGGTAGAAAAAAAATTCCATTGAAGTCACGTAAGCTTTGACTCTTATTTTAGACTTTTGTTTTTCTTTCATATTTTGTTTTGTTTTTCCAGAGGAATAAAAAGAGAGGGAAAAAATGAGATTGATAAAATTTGCTATATTGAAGTTTCCTAATTGACCTCAAAGAAGAAATAACCTGTCTTTAAAAAAAATGAGTGGCTTTAAATGTGGTTATAAATACTTGTTCTTGGCTTTTGATCTCAATTTTTGCAAAAGAATGAATTTTGGGTAAATATTTTCTACTGCTTTCTTGGCTAGTGACTTTCCAAAGTGTTTATACTACTAGCTTGCCACGTAGTCATAACAATTTGAAGAAAACAAAACCAAATCATAAGGTTTGTTGTAAGAATAGCTTTATGTCTTATGAATTCACACACCACCGGGCTGGGTAAAGGTGGATGATATTTTACATCAAGAGAGGAGTCACCTGATAATTTGGCATTGAATGACTTTTGCTTTTTCCTGAAAGCTACAGTCTTCCCTCCCACAGCTGATGTGTTAACAGATGGAGATAATTTTACTTTCAAGTACTGCTTTGTAAACCAACTTGTCCTTTTCAGCTAGTGTTTTACCAGACACACTCATCTAAACTTGCGTGGCTGAACATTCTCCTACAACCTGTAAGAGAATGAATTGGTTTTGTGGGTAACACAGGTGCTTCCCAATAGTCTAGATTTCTGCCAAAGTCTTTATATTAAGCTTTACAGTCTAACAAGCTAAAATTCTATTACTCTCTACAATTGCTATCCTTTAAAATTAAGTGATCTTCTAAACAGAAGATATTAAATCCAGGCATTCTGAAAGACCTGTTTTGAGGCATTAGAAAACACATATAACAATCCTTAACATCACAGATATATCTAGTTTTTAAGGAAAACTTGAGCAATAACAGTTAAAATTTTTCTAAGCCACTTCCAGGTATAAACTATTCCCCAAAGCCTAAATAAGCACATATGGACTCCAGTGTTAGAATGCTCTAGTTTGACCATTTTCTCTCACTCATTGCTTTCTAAATATGAACTTTTTTTGGGGGGAGGGGTGATTAGTTTTATGAAATATTGTAAGGTTTTATAACCATCAGCTGTACAAAAGCCTGAATTTCTATATGAATTCAAACTGTAAGTGAGTTGACTAAAATTAGAATTATGTAACTTAGATATGGACTCTTTTGCCAGACTCTTTCTTATGAGTTTAAATATAGCTTAAATACAATATAAATATAAGTAAAAACTGTGACTATGCTAAATTCATATCCTAAGTATAGAAACTCACTGCATTTGGTCATAAACCACATCTACAGCAGAAAACCCTGTTATTTTTCATAGCACGGAAACTGCAATGCAAAAGTTGGACTAATTTAGATCACTTTAAAAGAGACCGGGCTGTTTGTGTGCAGGAAATACACTGTCTTTAAAGATCCACTAGGTCTGGGATTTTGTTCTTTTCATGCAGAATAGTAACACAAGATTCACATGCAAATGGATAAAACACTCAATCCAACCAAGAAGAATTGAAAGCTAAATTAGATGTGTGATCTAATTTAGCTTTCAAGCAGTTAGATTAAATTTCTTTTTAAAAAATCTGCAAGGTAAATTTTAATTCAGTTTTATACACTCTTATTTTTTAAACTAGAAGTAAACAGTTAAAGACATTCTGTATTTTATGTGATACTCAGTTTCCTAAACCTTGAAAAAGGACAAGCTCGCTTTTCTCCCAGGAGTTCTTCTAAGCTTACTGATATTTAATAGCAGTCATAACTTTTGTTTCTTTTGGTTTTGTTTCAAGATAGCCAATTAAATTATAAATCAAATAGTTATAACTGAGTAATCTATGATGTTCTACCATATTAGTTGAAAATCCATTAACTCTGAATGTTAGCCTATAATAAGCAGAAAAAATAGTGTCCCCGCAAGAAAGTTAAGTTCAACATAGTTATTCATTGTGGAAAAATACACACACACACACAGATTCTCTTACTTCACACACAGAACTAGCATCTCAGTTACCATCTAACATTCTTGCCATCTTTTCAGTGCACATATAGCTAGTATATGAAGACAAGTCTTTGTTTATATGGAGTAATTGGCAAATGAATGAAGCTTACTGAGCCATGGCTCATACTAGCATTGCAGCCGTGATGCCATAATTTTAATTTTGTCCTGTGAGTGATTGTTTTCTTTTTACTGCCTTTATTTGCTGTCAGTATCTTCATATTTAATCTATTTGGAATTATTGATATTGGTGGTGGACTGGTAGATAGATTCATTGATAGATATGTTATAGCTAAAAAAAAAATAATAGAATATTTTCCCCAAGAAAGAATGGCAAATTCAAGAATCAAAGTTCTGTTTATGCTTTTATATGAAAAATAATCATTTATTGAATATTTTCATTCAGGACAAAAATCTCTATTTTAATTATATTATCAGCTGTGAGAGCATTAACTAAGCCAGAGTCCCTATTGAAATGCAAGTTTTCATGGACTCTGAGAGCTGGAGTGGACCTTAAAAGATCCAACCACCCTAGCTACACAGAAAAATCAACTTTTGCATTTAAGTGTTACTGGCTTTATCAAAGGTAAACCGTTTTACCAGAAAGAAATGATTAACCTTGACAAGAGGCTTCTAAGTGGTCCTTTTTATAGATAAGTCAGATTATGTCACTTCTCTATTCATCACAGTCCAGTGGCCTCTCATGTCATTCAGAGTATAACCTTTGTCCCTACAATGACCTGTAGGACTCATAGTGATCAGTCCCTACCCCCACCTCTGGAATCTCATCTCCTACCACTTTCTCCTTGCTCACTCCATTGTAGTCACAGCGGCCTCTTTTTATTTTTGAACAAACCAAGCCTTCTCCTGCCTATGGGCATATGCACTTGCTGCCTGGAATGCCCTTTCCCAAATATTGGCATGTTTTTTTCCCTCACTTATTTCATGCCTCTGCTTAAATGTCAGCTAATAAAGTAGGCCTTCCCTGACGACTGTATATTAAAACAAAGAGCAACCGGAAAAATTTTCTCTCTATTGCTTCTGAGAGTTCCCATTTCCCTCATCCTGCTTTATTTTACTTCCATAGACCTTATTACCATATATGTGATATTTTTAGTTATGTATTTATTTATAGTCTGTGTCTCCTTACAAGAATGTAAACCTTTTAAACCAGGGATACTGTTTTGTTCATTGCCGTAGCCTCAGTACCCAGAATGTTACTTGGCCCATAGTAGTTGCTCAATAAATATTTATTGACATGAATGAACAATAGAACTACATCCAGGACCAAAGTAATTTACTCCTTCTTCTTCTTCCTTACTGCAAGTATTAGCCTTGGCTCAGTCTTTAGCATTGCTTACATAACATTCCCTCACTACTCTTGTGTTCATATTTTTAGCCCCAACAAAACACATAGCAGGTACTGATCTGAACTTATGTGACTTCGCTTTCTAAAGTGATATCATGCTTTTAACAATTCCATACATTTTTGAGTTAAACATACTCTATCTCCTGCCGGATAGTGATGGAGTAGTTTCTACTGTCACTACCAGGCCTCAGGATCATATTTCCCAAGGAAGGGTTCTTCTCAAGCATCTCAGTTGCTTCTTTCCGGGATACTGTATAAAAACATCTACAGAAGTGAAATAAAAACAGAATTTTTTTTAACTGATGAAGATCAATACTTGAAAAAAAATGCTACTGAAATAACTCTAAGAGCTGCAGTTATTAACTTCTCTTTAAATTTCCAGCTTTATTATTTCAATGATATAATTATAATTACTATTATTACAAGCCTGTGCCACTATGAATATGCTTATGCTTAAGGCCCTCTTTCCCTTACCCCTTCAAAGCCTCTTTCTTTAACCAAAGAGGACCTGAAAATTTATCTACTGATCAGTATATAATCACTATTACCATTTGAAAATCTAAGACAAGAATTAACAAGGTATCCCCAGTCTTAGTTTATAATAGGATCTTGGATAAATAATATTTGTTGGTAGTTTCTTTTCAGGGATACAAAATATCTTTATACATGCTTCTCTTGTATAGTCTCTGTTTTAAATAACTGATATTTAAGGGGATGTCTGAATTCACTCCTTTTGGTATAATATGGCTTTCTAATGGCATTGGTGACATTTTTATGTGTAAAATTTTTAAGAAAGCACTTCTCATTTTTATAGTAAATATTGCAGTCAATAAAAAGTCTATTTTTCAATAGAAAAAAGTCTGGCAGGATATGCAATACACCAAAATGTTAACAGCGAATATCTCTGAGTAGTGGGACAAGAAATGATTTTAACCTTCTTTTTATTTATCTGTAATAAACATATATTACTTGTTTTATTGAGCAAAAGAGAAAAAGAAGCAGTCTATGTGACTTTTAACCTGTCAGTCCATCAGTTGTCACTGGTTTCAGCTAAGAGTGATGGTTGGCAGGTTTCAGTGATTGTGGTACAGATAGAATATGCCTCAGAACCTGATGTCAAAGATGGTACCAGACAAGTTTTATTGACGAGAAGACCAAGATTCCAGGAGGAAAAGACTTACAATCTTAGTCACACTTTTCAACGATATAAGAGTAAAAAATAAATGCAGGATGTTGCTAACTTCAGCATGTTCTGTGCCTCTTCATTTTTCCAACAACACCTTAGATACTTTACACAGGACCTTCCTCAAAGTACAAGCTCAATGACTACTCACTGGTTGACTGGACAATTGAATAGAACATTCAGGTATTTTAAATTCTTTAGTATAATTTTCCGATAGAAAATCAGTCAATCATAGAGTTGCATGGTGAAAAAATATCTTTTCCTTCCTTCTACGTAGCAGCTTTTATTTAGGTTTGAGCTTTGGAAAGAATATCTGTTTGGTCTAAAGGTGTGGGTGGAAGGGGATTTCCTGTGTGGTCTGAGGGTTGGTTCAAATCTGCATTTTGCATTGTGTTGAGCATGACATATAAGAGGAAATGTGGCGTGTACTCAAAGATATGCTGTTTGTCCACAAGACAGCTTATTGTCCCTGGTTTAAAGAGGTCAATGACTAACTCTCCTTGATAATTAGAAATTAATATCAACAATCTAATAAATAAACTGGAGTTCATGGCACACTTACGCTGGCATAGGGTTCAGTACATCCACATAATCTTCAATTGGTTCCTTCTCTTTTTCCATAGATGAACTAGGTATCCGCTCGGTCTCAATCCTCCTTTTCTTTTCTCTCTCTAGGACTTCATGCAGTCTAATTATTTGTCCAGGAAGGAGTGACACATGTAGAGGAACTGACAGCTGAAACCAATTAAAGCAGTAGGCAGACAAGAAGAACAGCAGAATAACTGATTTTAGCAAAGATGAGCTGGTTCTAAGGAGCTTCAGTTACCCTACAGAGATGGATGGTTTCCATCCATTAATCCATGAATAGAGGATCTTGGTGTCTTAGAACTGCCTCTAAACCAACTTGAACCTGCACAGGGTACCCGGTCTTCTTCCAAGAAATGTTCCTTTTGGTCTGGCCCAAAGCAAAGTATACCCACCTTGCATTACAAGTTAATTCAAGTAACAACAAACCTCTCATTTTTCATTCTGAGCTCACTATTTCTCACTGCCAGGAAGGTTCAGAGCACCTGCAAGGTACCTGCCTAGGCATCCCACAGGTAACCTGGAATAAGCTCCAGCAGCCATATGGCAGCATGGGGTTGAGATGGAACTATTCATTAGATGACTGAGAATCAGCAATCAGAGGTCTATATTTTGGTGTGTTTGTGTGTATATTTCAAACTTTCACACATTAGGATTATGATTGCTCTACTTATTAGGTTTCTTTTTAGCCTTTTCTAGCGATGTGTTTTGGATTGAGTCACCTATCTCCTCCTGATCTACATTCATACTGCTGATTTAGACCTCATTATGACCAGCTGTGTGCTCTAGGAAAGTATAATCTGAATGGTAGAATATTTTTCTTTATGTGACACTACCTAGTCTATGTTTTGAGGTAGCCACATCTGATTATCTTCTTGATCTCTGGAGTGGGGTACATGCTTTCCAAAGGGTGTATAAGAAATTCCATTGAAGTGTGGAAAGAAAACATTAGAACTTCATTTTCTATTTACACATTATCTTATTAATTCCTATTATTTATATTTTATAGCATATATATGTATGTTCATATATGAAATTTGAAATAAAAACTTACTGATAAGGGTACACAATCAAAAAGGTTTAAAAACTATTCTTCTGGATGACTAAGCTAACTAATAATCAGTAAGGTTATTTCCTTATATACCAAACCAGAAAAAAAAAACAATAGAATGAGGAAAAACTAATGAAACAGCTACTCCTTATTAATTGCCTGTCTGTTCCAAGAATTGTGCTATTGCAAATCCTCACAGCAATGCTACAAGACAGGTATTGTTATCCCTGCTTTAGAAATGAAAAAAACAGGCTCAGAAAGATTAAGTAACTAGTCCAGGGTCACATAGCTAAGAAGTTGTGGAACCAGGACTCAAACTTCAGTTTATTCAATTCAAAAGCAACGTCTCTGCTCTTTCAACTACAGTCCGTGTTTCTCAAACTTCTACTAAAGCTCTCCAAACAACAGCACCATGTGAATGTATATACACAGAGTGATCTGGAAACATACTAAAAAACAACAATTTGTAGAGCACAAAATTTGAGGCAACTTGTTTTCTTGGAAATTCACATGAATTTCATTTTACATTCTGTAACATACCTATGTACATTTTAAAATAAAAATAATGCTTTTTATCCTTATCTCAAGGAAAAAACTAAAAACAAATTTTTTGTCCAAAATGTCAAGTATAATTTGTGTACTAGAAGATGCACCCCAAGGTTTTTCTAGTGGTTTTAGTGTACTCCTTGACACCTAATCACATACCCTTGGGATACTTCTACCCCAATAAAAGAAGTGCCATGTGGAAAGTGATGACTTACCACAGCAGAGGGAGAGAATGTAATTCCCCAAAGAGTTTCTCCCTCCCCCCAAGTCAACATGTCTTTCACATTTTTAACTGGCCCACTTTTCTAGCCTCCTATGATTTCTCTACATGGTAGTTGAACCTCCAACTTTTACCTATTATTGACTGAGATAAAGAACCAGCATCCATCATCTCAGTAAAGTGCAGTGCTTATTTCATGTGACTGCAAAGGCTTTACTTAGGAACTAGCTTTGGATAGAGTCTGTGTTTAACTGACCCTAATAAACAGAAGGTTTTCTTTCCTCTAAAAGTATTAGAGAGCACGGTGCTCTTTTGGGGGCTGGTTATTAAAGTACCTCATACTTCTAAGATAGTTGCTACAATGGCTTTATTCAAAATAATGGTAGTTATCTTGCTGCAACAGTTAACTATAAGCAGTAGATCTTACTATTTGTCTCAGATAAGATGCCACAGAGTATAAGCATCCCTTTAGTGATGTCTTAAGACTCGCTAAACAAATGTTTAAAAATGACTTTTCATTTTGATGTTCTCTCCTTGTTATATTATCTATGTTATTCATAAAATCCATCTCAGCATTTTATAAATATGTATTAAATGAATAAGAAAGGAATTGGAAAGTATTTTAGGAGATGCTATGTAAGCTACAAATATCAGAATATATAAAGGACCACTGTGTCAAAAAGATAAGACCAAAAAGTAGATCACCCTACCTGTTATTCACTGGCTGGCACATTGCCCTGTTTATTTTCTTCATAACAATTATCACAATTTTAAATTATCTTCTTTGTTTATTTGTTTATTTTCTTTCTCTCTCTCCATCCACCCAATAAAAATATAAATTTCATGAGAAAGTGTAAAGATATAAACCTGTCCTTTTCAATTGCTATATCTTCAACCCCTTTCACTCTTCATAGTTTATAGCAAGTGTTCAGTAAATATTTGTTGAATGAATGAATGAATCAAAAGTAATGTCCTTCCTACCTCTGTTACTGTGAGAATGAAGCCTCTCCATTCTTCCCCACTTTCTACGTTCTCTGTCTAAAGATGAAGACAAAAACAGAAAAAGACAAGACATGAATGACTGTGAACATTAATACTTTTATTAACTTGAAATAACTTTAGAATTTCATATTATTGTTTTGTAGACTCAAAATGTGTAAGCCATCAAAGCCCAGCAAGATTGACAAAATGCATATTCTTCTATTGAAGCACATTATTTCAAAAAGTCAATTGTAATTTTTTAACCACTTAAAATCAGTTGAAAGGAAGAAACAATTCATTTTCCTTTCTGCTTAGAAGTATTAATGTATATTTCTTATGAAATATTTCAATACTCTTTTGTCAGAAGGTAGAAGTATATAGCTTTGATCTGTTTGCTTACTAAACAAGTAAAATTTTACAATTTACTTAAAAAAATTTAAATGTTAGCACACTTATTTCTGCAGTATGTAAATTCATGGTTACTGCCTCCATTGGTATTTAACATTGACGGGCTTTAAGTTTGGGGCAACCAGGTAGGACCAATGTAGTTAGTCCATAGAAACTTCCAATTCTTATCTCTAAATGCTATTAATACAGACAACATTTAGTAGGTGCTTATAAGTGGCAGCTAATATTCTGAGAACTTCACAAGTGTTAACTGATTTAATCTTCAGAGCAACTCTGCAAGAGGTACTATTATTATTTTTTACTTTACAGATTTATTCATTTAACAGATATTTATTGAGTGCCTTTTAGTGCTAGGCACTATTCTAGATACTGGTTTACATCAGAGAACAAAACAAAAATCCTTTTTCTCGTGGAGTTTAGGGTCTAGCAAGGAAGAAATAAACATAATAGTGAGGAGGTTGTGTAGAGTTAGAAGGAAATAAATGGAAAAATAAAATGTAGAGCAGGGTAAAAGAGATTGGGAATGCTGTTACGGAAAGGGAAAAGGATTGCAGTTTTAATAAAGTAGTCCAGGTAGGCCTCAGTAAGAGGGTTACATCTAAGCAGAGACTTACTTCCAGGTGAAGAAACCAAGGCACAAAAAGGTTAAGTAACTTGCCTATGATCACACTACTAACAAATAACCAGAATTCAAACCTAAGCATCTGACTCCAATCCTGTGCTCTTAACCACAACATCAGAATCATCTGGGGAGCTTGCTTAAAACATAAATTCTGGGGCTCAGGTTTATAGGTGACGCCTGGATTTCCTAATTACAAGTGATTCCTAGTTCATTAAAGCTTAATGACTAGTGCTTTCAAGGTCAACTCCAACTACATCTTATTCAATTGCAAGTTGTTCTCTTTATATTATGTTTATATATTTTTTGTATATCTAAAATACTTTTATTTTATTTTTTATATATTTTTGTTCAATTATAATTGACATACAATATTATGTTAGTTTCAGGTGTACAAGAGTGATTCGACATTTATATACATTACAAACTGAGTTTTATGAGGTTACCATATTTCACAAATTGTGTATAACTAATATACAATTCTTGTTCAAATTTTTCTAATTGTCTCAATAATGTTCTTCATAGCTCTTTTTCTTCCTTTTCTGATCTAGGATCCAATCCAGATCACACATTGCATTTTAGTTGTCATGATGCTATAGTCTCCATAATTGGGAACAGGTGTCCAGTCTTTCTTTGGCTTTTCTTATACTGGTATTTTTCAAAAGTTTAGGCCAATTGCCTTGCAGAATGTCTCTCAATTTGTGAAATATGGGTTTGTCTAATTCAATGGTTCCAAATGTGTATCATGTTGGACATGTCTCAGAATCATCTGGGAACTTGGAAAATGTTAATTCAAAAACAACATTTAAGGGCCGGCCCCGTGGCTTAGCGGTTAAGTGCGCGCACTCCGCTACTGGCGGCCCGGGTTCGGATCCTAGGCGCGCACTGCTTCTCCGGCCATGCTGAGGCCACGTCCCACATACAGCAACTAGAAGGATGTGCAACTATGACATACAACTATCTACTGGGGCTTTGGGGGAAAAAAGGAGGAGGATTGGCAATAGATGTTAGCTCAGAGCCGGTCCTCCTCAGCAAAAAGAGGAGGATTAGCACGGATGTTAGCTCAGGGCTGATCTTCCTCACAAAACAGAACAAAACAAAACAAAAAAACATTTAAACAACACCAGGTGAGATCTCTGACTTTGTCAGAGGACAGAAGTGTATGGTTTCAATGTGCTTGTATACTAAACAAGTGAACATGCCTTTTTAAATCCTGTTTTGAAAACTGTAGTTCTTGGCAAAAGGCAAGAAATATTAACAAAGTCTAAGACGTGGCAGTCCTCTTTTAATTCCCCTTTACTTCAGCCACTGGGTTGTGAAGAGGTGAATGCTATTTATAACCACAACTTGTTTCAGACTAATTGCTTCTCTTCACTCACCTTCAGTTGCACTTCCTCTTTTGGCAAAACAAGGGTGATTTTTGCACAATTCTTTTCAGTTGAATTCTGGTCAGTAAGGCATGTGAGGTCTATTATGTCTAACTTGTCAACATACTGCAAAGATAAATGGAAATCTTGTTAAATTAGTTCATGAGTAATGTACATTAATTTTAGTAGGCAGGAAAGTAGGTAATATCTTCCTTTCAACTGATTTTTACTTTGCATGATATCCTGGTTTTCTTTTTTTACGTGAGGAAGATCAGCCCTGAGCTAACATCTGTTGCCAATCCTCCTCTTTTTGCTGAGGAAGATTGGCCCTGTGTTAATATCCGTGCCCATCTTCCTCTACTTTATATGGGATGCTGCCACAGCATGGCTTGATAAGCAGTCCCACAGCATGGCTTGATAAGTAATGAGTAGGTCCACACCGGGGATCCAAACCTGTGAACCCTGGGCCACCGAAGCATAGTGCTATGCCACTGGGCCGGCCAATATCCTGGTTTTCAAATGGGCATGGGACCCCTTCCCAACTCAGAGGGCAGTTAGAAATGCATTATATGGTGGTGTCCTGGACCTGCTCACACAGGTTTGCAATACCAATTGTTAAATTTTTAGGAATTTTGCAAGCCAGTTTTTAAACACAGCCATTATTAAAAATTAGATTATATAAACATACAAGTAAATAAATGATATTAAAAGCAAAGGTAATTGAAATTTAAAACTCAGCATTTTCTGATTATATTACTACATAGTATTCTCTATACTCTTGAGGTTATTTACATCTTCATTTCTGTGTGGTGGAATACTATATAGTGGTATGCTACGGTACCTTTTTTCCCAACTCCATGTTCAGTGTGGTCACATTGATAGGTTGAAATCAGCCATGGTGGGAGTATTTACACGATGGAAATTGGCAAACTTTATAAATTAGGGCTTGACCTATTGTTTCATTAACTGTCCTGGGGCAAGCAATTTTTTTCTGCAAAGGCCTGATTGTAAATGCTTTGGGTTTTGTGGACCCCATACAGTCTCTGTTGCAAATTCTTCTTTTTTTTTTCTTTTTTTTACAACACTTTATAAGTATAAGAACATTCTTAGCTCATAGACTGTACAAAATCAGGCCACAGGCTAGATTTGGCTCAAGGGCCAGTTTGATGCCATCAGGTCTGGCCTTAAGAAAACGAAGGAGAAAATGTTAATAATGCAGATGAAACTTTAAAATTTGTTGTGTCTGAAGCTTTTTCATTGTGAACAGGACAAAAAATTGGCAAAATATTCTTCCATAATTCAAAAACTATTATCTCATTCAGCAAAGAATTTGCTCATGTCATTGACAAATAGGTGAAGTTCTGGCATACATAATTGTTGTTTTACTTTCTTCTTACTCATTAATGTAAACAAAAATATCAGCCAACATTCATGTTAAATATCATATTTAATGACAATAAATTTATTGGGGAAACAGCAGATTGGAAAACAACTCCATTTGTCAAATCATTATTGAATTGTAATCATAGTTGGCTATGAAAACGAGTTCAGAAAAATTAATGAAAGCATTCTGTAAGAATCAGTTGCCTATATGGAAATTACAATAAGAGTATTGTATATTTTATTTTTTAACTGTGTGCTACACATTCTTTGTAACTGTAATATTTATAATAAATTTATATATATATATTCATACATACATTTTTTTCCAGAAAGCTATTATTCAACATTTACCACATACCACTGGTTATGAGGATCCTCTTAAGAAATTCCTATCTTATCCCAGTACAATACAAATATTTCGTCTGAGCAATTGGTATGGACTGCTCTGTATGCAACTGGCCAGACTTGCTTCCTAGTATTAGAAAGATTAGGACCACCTCTAGTAAGTATAGTAGGGTTTTTATGGTATAATTTTTTGCTAAATGAGCCTGATTCTTGACTTCTTTCTATCTCCTTTTATTTTCCTCTCTGTTATACCCAATATAACTTATTTTACTTTATTTTTGTAAGTCTCCTTATTTCATTTTTCTGAATAAGGTAGGACGTAAAAATAAGTAAGTTTTTTTCCTAGAACTATTCCTAAATTGATGAGATTAAGGGTAAGTTTGGGTTGACCTTTTATTTTCAATAAACAAGGAGCAATTGAAAATGGAAGGAGAGGTTTAAGGGAAGGAGGACAGAATTTAAAATTACACAGAATCTTTTGTCTAGATCATGCTCAGTGAATTTTGCTGAGACAAAGGAGGAAGCAACAGAGGAAGAAGTGGCCGAGTTAGATAGAGTGCTGTAAGCTGATCTATTGATTAGAAGAAAGGAAGTCATATCTTTTTGTTTTTAATTGTAATATTGAATAGAGCCTTAAAAGTCATCTGTCTAATCTAGCTGCCATCTAATGTTTGAATCTCTTCCAGAGTACCCCTCCATGTAGTCATCCAGCCTATGCTAGAATATCTCGAACAACATGGAACTCACACCTCCTATGCAGCTCTGCCTGCTAGCAAGTTTTTTTCATGTAGTAAGCCACAGTTTTTCTCCAGGCAATTTCCATCCATTGGTCCTAGTCCCTTTTCTCTGGAATACACTAAACAAATTCAGTGACTTTTTCACATGACCTCCTGACATCCTTTCAAATATGTAAAGGTGGTTTTAATTTCTTCCCTACTATAGGCTAAATATCTACAGTTTTCACCTGTTTTATCTCTGTGCTTTTTTTCCTGAGACTATCACCCAAAAAATCTCCTGAAAAAGTCTGCATCCTCTTTGAACAAAATCGGTAGATGGGCAATTCTGCAGCATTTCGTTATAACAATCTCTTCACGGCATAGTGGTTAAGAACGATGGCTTAGGAGCAAGACCTGAATTGCACCCCTTTCATTAGCTGTCTGATCTTGTACAATTTCTTAATCTTTAAACTTAATTATTCTCATGTATAAAGTGGGGATTAAAATAGTACCCACTCTGCAGAGTTGTTGTGAGAATTAAATGAGATAATGCATGTAAAATGCTTGATTACTATATGCCAGCTACACTCACAAGCCCTTACATTTACTATTTCATTTAATCCTTTTGATAACCTTATATGACGGGCTACAGTTGTCATCCTAATTTTAGAAATTTGAAACTGAATGTATGAGATCTTTCATTTTCTCCTCTAGATTCACTTTTATCCCTTCATCATCCAACATTATGCACCAGGAGGGAGACCTGTATGGACAACATCAAGGGCTCCCTTACCCTCTTGCTGTTGGGTTGGACCGCTGGTAAACACTGGCAGGAGATCAGAATAGTGAGGAGAGTGAGGTCATATATTTATTACCCTGTGCAATTCTTCCGCAGTCAAAGATCCCATACTCTTCTCAAGGCAGTCATCTTCACACAACTCTCCCTACTGTTCTCTCACTCTTTCCTTTACTCCTGGGCGTGGTAATGAGGCACTGTTACTAGCCTCAGCATTCTGCACTATCTTTTGTGGTTTTCCTATATCCTGTCCACTGCTTTGAATATAGCATCTTCATTAAACTCTCTTTAAATTGCCCAATTTGTGATGTCATCTGTTTCTTACCAGTTCCCTGTCTGATAGACTGAGACACAGAGAAGTTAGGTAAGTAGCCCAAGATCCCAAGTTGGCACAGTGAACAGTGGCAGGACCAGGATAAAAACCCAGGTAGTCTACCTGAAGACCAGGCTCTCAATCACTAAGCTGTACTGCCTCTTGCCACGTAGTAAGTGAGTAATAACTATTAACTCTCTCACTTATGTGTATTATACAAGTTTTAAGCCAGGGTCTTTTATATTTTTACTGACATCAGTGGGAAGTTGGAAGGCACAACAGAGAAATTAGTTTTGTTAAAATTTGTTACGGTATTTGAAAACATCTTTATATAAAGCTTGTCTATCCAGAACTCTGGTGAAAGATGAATGTTTGAAGTTTGTTTTTCATTTGTTTTTTTAAAATGACTTCTAGTTAGTTTACCACTAATGGCACTGAAATGCCTACAGGTGGAATACATTAATAAATAAATACAAAAAATACATTAATACAATAATATCCATGTATTATGTATTGTATTATTATATTATTATTGTGTAATATTAATATAATAATACAATAAATACAAAATATACATTAATACAATAAATACAAAAAACAGGCTCTTTTTCTGTTGCTTTCATGAGATTGGGACATGTAATAATGATATTCTAAGAAGTGTGAGCTACTGAATACATAGTCCAAAATGTTTATATTTAGACAAGTTACTGGATGATAAAATCTCTTATAAGCATAGCATTCCAAGATAGGCAAGCATTTCCCACTAAAATATTACATTTTGTTTGTGGAAAAAATGAAATACACAATCAGTTTTCAATTTTTGGTGGGAAAATTGAAATAGAAATTATTTGAAATTAATATGAATAAATAAATCTCAGAATCTCTCTGTTGTTATTCTCATGCTTGAGCTCTTAGGAATCCTGTTTTGTAGGGGATGTTTTTGTCTTTCTAGAAGAATTAAATTGTGACATATTGTATATTATGAGGCTTTGGGGATCATTTAGTTCTTTTCAGATTATAACTGCATGCTACAGCAAGATAAAAAGAGGAGAAAATTAAGGCTATCACTTGGTATTAGGCAATTTGTATCCAGGTGTCTCCCTAAAATTTTCACTTTTCAACTAAGTTTTTATTAGCAGGATCAGAAAGAAAAGAATGCAAAGTTAAAAACATGAGTTAATAACTTCTGAGTTGCCCAGGAAATAGTACCGTGGGTCTTATAATTGATAGCCATCACGGATGTAAGAGTTCTTATTTGAATTGGTTTTGCTAGAATCTTTACTCTGGGAAGACAGACAATCCCAAATGTATAATAAACTATATGACAAGTGGATATTGGGAAAAAATTGAATCAGCTGAACATGTTTAACTACTTACTATTGTACTTTTTTTGTCGGTATAAAAGAAAAGTGTAGTTCCTCTCAATTCTGTCCAATAATGTTTATACTCCTGTGGGAAAGAAATTGTAAGCATTATTCATTAGTGAATATTCAACTATTTTCCTATTGATATTTTCCTTTGTAACTTTCTTAATTGCTATGTGATAAAAGGTTCTTCTTTATCCTGAGATAAAACACCTAGTTTTATGGCTTAATTTTACATTTAATTCTTGATGAAATCCTTCACAAATTTATTTTAGTATAAGGTGTGAAGTAAGGATGTAATTTGATTTGTGTTTAAATAGATCATTTTCCAAAACTTTCCTCATTGATTTAAGACACTTGACTTTTTATGCAGTTCAGTGGAAGCTCGCACCTGTAAGAGGGACCATTTAAGGGATCAGGATAGGACAAGCTACCTATCTACCTTCCAGGACAGTTGAAAGGATTGAATGAATTAACACATGTAAAGCACTTAGCTCATAGTTTGGGTTCAAAAAATAGTATATATTTATATAGATCAAGGAAATGTGAGCAATTGATAATGATAAAAATAACTTGACACCATCAAAGCTGAACTTTGAAGTCCAAATTTCATTCATGTGGTGAACATTTCATTATTGATACACTCATATTATTATGGGTTCTATAGAAACATAACTTTTTAAGTTTTAGAAGTTTAAATAACCTGGTCAGACTCTCATTTTTATTTAAATAAGAGGAACTTAACATTCTATGAAGATTGTCTGTATTATAACAGAATGGCCAGGAGGTTTAAAGAATAAAATCCTTCCACATCTAAAGACTTACCTTCATACCCAGCTATTTCCAAAGTATGCTTAAAAAATTCTAGTCAGTTTCACAGACATGTTGACCATTCACTCCTTTTGGGTTTAATAAGCTGAATTTTTGTAACATGCTGGATTGTCTTGACTTATATTGAGGTCTAATGAGACAATCACATGAAGAAATTTTTTTCTTTTGCTTATAGATGTGAAGACACTTTTATATATTATGGCATTTGTGTCTCTTTAATACTGACATATCATTCATCCTTTTTTAAAAATTATTTTATTGGGGTCGCATTGGCTTACAACATTGCATAAATTTCAGGTGTACACCACTATATTTCAGTTTCTGTGTAGACTGCATCGTGTGCACCACCAACAGTCTAGTTTTTATCCATCACCATACACATGTGCCCCTTTACTCCTTTCGCCCTCCTCCCATCGTTTATCCTTTTTTTGACCAGCAAAATGTTTGTCACCTCTTCAGAATTTACATTCTTATTTTCTCAAATAATTGGAACTCCATAACCCATCTTGCTTTTATTTGCCTTGGGTCCCAGGAAACTCAAGATTATATTCATTCTGAGTTATAACCACCATCTTTCTCATGTTCTTAGTAGAACTATTTTCTCCCTTTGTCTTCATGGCTGATAAGGTGCTATATTAGTTAGCTTTTCTTGTATAACAAGCCACCCTAAAACTTGGTGGACTAAAACAGCAAATGTTTCCTATTTCTCATCATTCTGTGGCTGGCTGATGATCCTTTGGATCTGGGTATACTTGGCTATGGCTGAATGGTCTAGGGTGGCCTCGCTCACTTGCCTGGAGTCTTAGCTGGGAATGCAGAATGACTGGGAGTGGTATAATAAGCAATATATTTGGTCTTTGTCCCCCAGTTCCTGGCATAGAGATCTTGAAACCCTTGGAATTTCCTGATTGATAGTAGTGTAAAAACAAAACTTATTCGTAATGAACCCCTTTATATCATACTTGAGTTTATACTAATGAGGTGACTTAGGATGGGACCCCCTAGATAGCTTTAGGATGAGTCTGGTCACCAAAAGAACAAATGATTACAGGAAAGGAACTTTCAGCCCCACCCACTGACCTCCATGAAGGGGGGTGGGGGGCTGGAGGTTAAGTTTTATAAAAATTCTTGGACAATAAGATTTGATGAGCTTTCTAATTGGTGAAGACATCCACATGCCGAGAGGGTGGTGCACCTCAACTCCACAGGGACAGAAGCACCTGTGCTCAGGACTCTCCCAGACCTTGCCCTATGTACCTCTTCATCTGGCTGTCCATTTGTGTTCCTTACCAGTAAATGTAAGTAAAGTGTCTTCCTGAGTTCTGTGAGCCATTCTAGTAAATTATCGAATCTTAGGAGGGGGTCATGGGAACCCCTGGTTTAAAGCCAGTTGGTCAGAAGTACAGGAGGCCTGGGACTTGTGACTGATGATGAAGTGAGGGGCAGTCTTGTGGGACTGAGCCCTTAATTAAGCTGTGGGGTCTGCACTAAATCTGGGTAGGGAGTTAGTGTCAGAATTGAACTGAATTGTTGAACACCCAGTTGGTGTCTAGAGAATCAGAGAATTGGTTACTGGTGTTGGAAAACACCCCATTGAGACAACTGGAGTCTCACTCCATACATTCTCATCCTCCAGTCAACTAGACTAGACTTGTTCACATGCTGGCAGAAGGATTCCCAGGAGCAAGAGAGAGAAAAACCCAATGTGTGAGTACTTTCTAATCCTTTGTTTTTGTTACATTTACCAAAGCATGACCCAGTCCAGATTCAAGGGGTAGAAAAATAGACTCAACCTCTTTAAGGAAGGAGCAGAAATGTCACATTTCAAAGGGGAGTGTATACAGTCAGGCTTGAACAAATTGGTAGTATTCCTGCAGCAATCAACTCAGGGGCAGGAGTTGGAACTTGGGGCAAGATTTCTTTGTCCAAGCCCTGTGGTCTTTCCATTCCATCCTATCTCCCAAATGAGAGCTGATGATAATGTAATACAATGACCCTGCTGATGCCTCTTGAACCAAGAACGAATTACCATAAAAAAGAACAATTCAAGGGCCAGCCCTGGGGGCCTAGTGGTTAAGTTCAGCGTGCTCCACTTTGGTGGCCTGGGCTGGGTTTCCAGGCACAGACCTACACACTCATCTGTCGGTGGCCATGCTGTGGTGTGGTGGTGGCTCACATACAAAAAGAGGGGGATTGGTACCACGTGTTAGCTCAGGGCGAATCTTCCTCAAAAAAAAAAAAAAAATCAAAAGGGCATAGGATTGAAGAAATCAGTCAATAGATGGTCCCTAAAGGAGCAATTATAAAATGGGAGAAAGAGATTCTTTCTCTTGTCTGAAATCCAGATGCCCAATATATTTACCTGACACATCTCAGAGTCAAGTAGCTTAGTAAGGCAAAAGAACAAACCATAATTTCAGCCCCATCAGAAGTCTTTTGTTTCCTTTTTTTCATATAGGATACAAAGTGTTATCGGCATTGCAATAGCCCTTTACCTGGTCTCTCTGCTGCCTTTTTACATCCTCCAATCTATCCTGCACAGTGCTGCCAGAGTGAATTATCTCCTCCCCAGAGAGTAGGGGTAACTAACTAACTAACTACTAGGTGAGTTTGGGAGACAGTATGCTCAACTCAGTCTCCTCCTGTCATCTCTCAGCTCAGCCTACCAGGAGAGTGTGTGTTCTGTTTGGTCCCTGCCATGTAGCAAAGGGCCTCCAAGAAGGGTAGGCTTGTGGCCCCTTAAACTGAGTCAGTGGCTCAAGGTAAATCAAGGCTACCTAAATCTGGGGTAAAGTGTTAGCACAGTTTTGGCCTTAAATCTAAACCACATATCAATAGATTTTATTAATAATAAAAGAAATTAATTATCTTCCTTTGTGTGATTCCTGTGTCTTAATTTTCAATTGGTTTCAAACTTGGGAGAGGAAAAATCCCAACAAATGGGTATAAAAATGTACAGGGCAGGGTAAGTGGTAATTGCTAATGGGGTTTCTTTTTAGAATGATAAAAATGTTCTAGAACTAGATAGTAGTGATGATTGCACAACTTTGTGAATATATTAAAAGCCACTGAATTGTAGTAATAATAATAACAATAACAATAGTCACTGTGTCTCCTGTGTGAGAGTTTGCTGTCAAGGGACCAAGAATTGAAGTAGGGAAACCAGCCTCCTGCTATTGCCTCATAGAGTTGTTGAAGGATTGAATGGAATAACAGTGTATGTAAAGCACATAGGACCTGGGACATAGCAAGTGTTCCATAGACGTTGGCCACTAAAAAAAAAAAGGCATTGCCTCATCACTCACATTATTAACAGGTACTTTTCACTTTTCCTTATCCATGTAATACTTTTTCCACATGGTGACTTGTATGTGTGTGTGACAGTGGTGGCGTCTAAAAATCTCTAAAATAGATCTCTTTCAGTGGGATTATGTATGAAAAGGAGAGGATATTTTGTAAACCAGAATAATGAAAACCATTGTCATTCCTATATAAAATCACCCTTTCATATTGCCTTAAATAAAGAGATAGAAAACTGCGGTGAGAAATTTGGCTTGAGAAGTTGCTAATATATACTGTCTCTATAATCAGGCAGATGTTCTGTAAAAACCATGAGAGTATCTAGTCACTCTATTGAAAAATACTCGAATTTTCTCAGATTTGACTTGTGATTAAATAATAAAACATCTCGAATTTATTTTGGGAGGTTTTTTTTTAAAAAATCGTATCTCTCTTAAAGGCTTTCACATCCTGCCCTAGCGGTAAGCCTCTGTATTGCAAGGAGCAAGTCAAGGCTACAATGTACTTTGGAACTAGGATGTGGGTGAGGGAGAGTGGGAGGAGATTGGAATGTAGGCATATTGGTTAGAGAACTTAATCACGGGTTGTGTAGTTTTACTGAAGTATGGTATCTAAAATCAAGTCCAAACCTGAGATTCTATGATTCCTGGAGGAAAGGAAAGCAAGAGTAAACCCTGAAGTCAAAGTCTACTACTTTATTCATCTTGTTAATTAGCCTCGTTAGTATTAACATGCCATAAGATGGAAAAACTAAAATAGCCAGTCAAGATTTATTCAGTCCTTCTGTATGTATGTGCAGACATCCATCTGTGCTCCTGAGCGAAATTGCAGAGGTGTTCAGTCATGAGAGAATGATATGAATTGGGTAGAGTTAATCAGGGAAAAATGGAAGTTTTACTGGTAAACAAAATATAGATTCATGGAAAAGATTAACAAGGGTTTATTAAATGGGGGAAGAAGCAAGAACAAAGGCACTGAATTGAGAGTAAAGGCAGCCTGGAGGAAAAGGAAGATTACAAATAGCAATAGGCCATGTGAACTCCAACCACAGCCACAAACCCAAGAACAGATCAAACTTATATTCGGTATGCAGACACCTGCAGATCACAGTCTTGATTTAGTTTCTGATAAGCTCTCATGAATACCAGTATAATTTGAGTCATCTATAAATATCAATCTCAAGAATCAACATCTAGATATATATATCTACAGAGATATGTAAATATTTTAAAAATTAATTTTAAAGGACATTTTTTAATGAAATGCATTTAGCACAAAGTTTCTTATTTTTTAGCAATCATTTGTGTTGAATTGCTGAAGTAAGAAAAGGGACTGAAATGGAACTTTTGAATTTATTGCTAGCTTCATAATCATTAGATGACCTTGTATTTAGAGTTTAAAGTCACTATCTCATTTTCATTCAATTAAACAAATATTTTTGAAAGTCTACTGAGCCTACTGTTGAGCTCAGTGTGATAAAGAATCTAGTGATAAGACATCCCCAACCTTTGGAATCCCACAATCAAATGGAATTAGAACTTTAGTTTGAGAGGCAGCATGACGTCAAGTGCTTGGCAATAAAAGCCCAGGCTCCTTAAGAGATAGAAACCTTGCACATTACCTCTGTGAGCCACGACTCACTCACCTGTGAGGTAAATAATTTCTACCCAGAAGAGTTACTGTAAAGATCAAAGTGACAGGACATTAAGAGCCTAGCATGATATCTGCCATATGTCAACACCTTAAGAAAATACACCCATGATTATATAGTCCATTTGATCATCAAAGCAACCCATTGTTATGCAAGAGAGTAATTATTTCATTTTACAGAAGAGGAAATAGACTAAAAGTTTTAAAGGAATTGCCCAAGTTCCACAGTTGGACTGATATTTGTATCCCCCGGCTACCCAGTGCTCTTTTCTCATGATGTGACTAGTAAAAATGGGTTACAATGCAAAATCCAGTTAAGTTCCCCTCTATCACCTGTCCCCAATAAAAAGCTCCCATTTTTCTTGTGAGCAAGTAATATACCTTTGTTTAAGGAAGGATGTTGTGTAGTGGTCTTCAAAGTAGGGCACATAAACCCCAGAGGTATGCAAGATAATCCCACTGGGGAAGAAACTTTTAGAATATCTAATTATATTTCATTTATTTCATCTTTCTTAATTCCTTGTTTTCATATATTTAATAATTTTCTGGGAGTATTAGTACAGGAGTACACATATATAATTTCCAAATAAATTAATATTCTTGTTAGAGATCTGTGCTCAAAAATGTCTTTTTGAAAGGAGTGTGTTATTTAAAAATTTTGGAAATTACTGGCATAGAGAACTACGTTTGAGAGCACAACTGAGATAGCCCTAAAATTTTTCTAAATGAATTAGTGGAAATTCGAAGACTAATCAGAGAAATGTTATTTTGATACTGTTATGATGATCACATTCTTATGTCCAGTCTGATAAGAAGAACATATTATACACATTGTTTTTAATTTTAGCACATCACAGATTGAAGAAATTATGAGATGTCGCCCAAACTCTCTCTTATTTTCAAACAGTTCCAGAAAAATGAGAATTTTCTCCATTGTAAGAACTGTGTTGCCACTGGTATCCTGCTGTGGCATTTAATAGGTCTTATCAAATAAATCTTCCTGATCAATCCAAAATTCTAGTGCTGTGGTTTAAGTAAATCTTCTCACATTATCTTCTCCATGAAGATTATATACTTTTAATGGGCTCTTGATCTGGGATCCACGGACCTTCTGGAATTGCATTTAAAATGATGTATGTTGGCATCTTCTCCTGGGGCAAAACTCCTCCTTAAACTCTTAAAAGTGCCCCTGTCACAAAAACAGCTAAGAAACACCTCTCAATGTGTGATCTCCTTACAGACCAGGTTACTCTTCAGTTATATTTTCTCCAAATTAAGTGTTCTGAATTCCTTCAGCAAAGACCCCATTTAACATTCTGCAGAGCCGCCCAACTTCCTCTAGCCCATTTGCTCCGAAGATGACCTTCTACATACCCTTGGCTCACCTTCCCTGTAAAGGTTCCTTGGCACTTTGCTGCTTCTTGCCTAGAAATCCCACTATTTTCCTTAGCTTTTTTCTCATAGCTTCTATTTTCAAGTGCTCTATCACTGTGGCTCTCTTTTGAGCCATATTACTTGTAGTGTCAAGACTGATTTTAGTTTGTTTACAAGAATATGATAAATAATGAAATAGAAGGAGAATGAAGCTGACCTTCAATGTGAGCCTGGTGTTTTATATGTTATCCCTTTAACCCTTGAAACCACCCTATAAGTAGACCTTATTGTCGTCCTCTTGCTCTCTTCTCCCTGACATACAAGTAAAAGATATTTGCTATGAATTCAAGTGGAAACACAAGTTAATTTCATCAGAAATATTTATACCTATAGTTTATTTTTTCCATTTCAAAACATGCTTTCTAAGAAAAGGTAGAGCAGCAATCGAGTAAGGGAGTCATCACTCCTTACTAAACTAAGCGTCCTGGAGGTGGGGTCTTTGTGTTTTATTTATATTCTCCAGAAATGGGTGTGATGTGTGGTGCATACGAGGCACTCAATAAACGTTGCTTGAATGAATAAATTGATTGAGCACCTGCTGTATCCGAGGCATTGTACCCTGGGAAGCAAGTCATATTCTCTCTATTTTATAGTTGAGGAAATTGAGTCTCAAGGAGATTGAGTAACTTGTATAAGATCACGAGCTGTCAGTGGCAAAACCATCAGGTAAAGACAAGTTTCATTGACATTCTAAAATCCCTGTTCTTTCTGCTAACAATACCAGTGGAATGCCTTCTTTAAACATTAAAAGGAACCCCATATCAAAACAGTTATTAAAAATACTTTGGAAAACATTCAATCAACAACCAAATTTAAATTACAAATTAGAAATTTTTTTTCCCCAACTCTCCTTTCCTGGCAAAGTGTAACAATGTGGTTAACTTGTGGTGACAAGATTGAATTCACTTTAAAAGCATATAGGATCAACCAAAAAATATTCCAATGTAACTGACAAATATTACTAATACATGTGTAACATCCATAACAGAATACAAATTACCGTGTCTTTACTCTCTAACAGTAAATGATCTGATTTTATATGCAAGAAATATGAATGTGCTATTACAGATATTTTCACATACACAATTTTTCCATAAGTATTAATAAATCCTCAGAAAATTTTTTAATTATCATTATTAAACATTTCTTGTGGCATTTCTCAAAACACTTAAATTTTTTGTAGATTCAGTTAATATTAAAATTTCATAAAATTTGACCTAAGTTAATGACTTCTTTTTTCCTTAGTAACAGACACTTTCATGTTTCTCTCATTAATTTCAAATTATCCACAATTAATATTTTAAAAGCACTGATTTTAATGAATTATGTTTTCATTTTTACGTTTTAAAAATATGGAGTGCTTTTTTAATTTTCTTAGAGTGAATGTATTTATGTAGCTTGGCTTACATACTACCCTAAGTATTATCTTTTAAAGTCATTATCTGGAACAGTGTTTTTAGAACATACAACTATACATAATGTGAAACAGTATCAATTTTCTCATTTTCACAATTTTTTTACAAAAGTTTACCATTAAAAAAGTAATTTGATCATTATCTGTAAACTTCAAACAACTGAGAATAGGAGCAGAAGGCTTAATTTCAATCAGAATATCATTTTATCTTACAGGTGCACGTCATCGTGGAAGCATAATAGTAAATTGCAGAGAAAATATAGGAAACATTTTATCTTCTAAGCTAAAATCTTCTGTGATGTTTAAATGAATTCTTTGGAAATTTAGCTTATTGAATTTTTTTACGTTAGTAACAACATTAGAACCTTATGTTATTATATATAATACATACATATATACATGTATGTGTTTAAGGCATACATTGTATTTAAATTATGCAAAATTGGAATCATATTCTGAGCTCAAGTAAGAGGTTCAATTCCAGCAGAAACAAGGAGGCCCTTGTCACATCACATCATCAAGAAATAAATTTTATATTAAGACAGAAGCTTCTAATTTAACATTATCATCTGTGGACTTACCTGGTATTCTGATCGCTTGACTAATAAAAAACCTTCAAAGTACAACGGTAGAGCAGTAATCTTTAATCTTTCTTGGAAGATCTTTCTAGGGGCTGGTTTCGGAGGCTTCTTAGCCATCATACCCTCTCGTTGCTGTGTGGTTTGCTTTCAACTGTATCCAGTCTCAAACAAAATGAGATCTCCCTTGTGTGAGAGGAAAAGGCAAATGTTCAAAGAGGAAGTCCCAACTCAATTTTTAACCACCAACAGGACACACATACACACACACACACACACACACACACATTTTTTTCCTTTACTTTTTGTGAGCTAAGAAAAAACAGGCAGAGACCAACTTTGAGAGGGCAATCTCTGAGTAAACTACATGTATTTAGAATTACAGTAGCAAAATAAACAGAAGATTAACATCTCCAGAGGATGAAAGGAACCGATGTAGAAATTATGGACTTTAGAGGGGACCGCAATGTCACATTTGTTTTATTCCACTTTTTTTTGTTTATTGCTGCCCACTTTTATCCCTAGAAGACATGACATGAATTAACTCCACTTCATTTAAAAATTACTTCATAGCATAATTTTATTAGTACTATTTCTGTTGTAAATATTTAATGATTGAGCTTTTGTTTAAATTTTTAACAGACTGGAGCTCTTTATCCCATGCCGCTTTTGATGGTCTACTAAATATAAACCACAGATATGGGAACATGAGATTTCACCTTTTTTTCAGTATTTTGAGTTACTGGTAGGTTACTGGTAGATGTTTGGCAAAATATGTGTGGCAGAGAAAGCTGTAAATTTTCAAGCTTTCATTTTGTTCTTTTATGCTTTCTGAGTTGTGGATTACTGATGCTATTATCCATAGATGGGATCCCTACAGTTGTCTAGATTTATACAGCTACACTGGGGCCAATATGCATTTAATAGTTGTATGTGGGAAATGGTCCTTGAGAGACTGGATTTGGCCCAACACTGTGCAAGGAATGATGGGGAAAGGGAACATTGGAAAGAATTCTGGTTTGTTTTGCAGGAGTCCTGAGAAGTTCCACCGTTTCCTATTTCACCCTCAATATTTCAGAATTACTGTGGATTTAGTTTAGCCTGGGCCTGGGCATTCTCCCCAGTTAGGCCAGCCTATTTTCAGAAATCAAAACAAGCCAGGAGGGCCGGCCCCGTGGCTTAGCGGTTAAGTGCGCACACTCCGCTACTGGCTGCCGGGGTTCGGATCCTGGGCTCGCACCGACGCACCGCTTCTCTGGCCATGCTGAGGCCGCGTCCCACGTACAGCAACTAGAAGGATGTGCAACTATGACATACAACTATCTACTGAGGCTTTGGGGGGAAAAAAAAAAGGAGGAGGATTGACAATAGATGTTAGCTCAGAGCCGGTCTTCCTCAGCAAAAAGAGGAGGATTAGCCTGGATGTTAGCTCAGGGCTGATCTTCCTCACAAAAAAACAAACAAACAAACAAAAAAACAAGCCAGGAATCTCCAGTCTGATCTTCCTTTCCTAATGGAGAGACCATGTAGTTTTCTCCACCAGTGTGGGTTCCATTGGATCTGCAGCCATAGCTGTGGGGAGCCAAATTGTCAACAAAGTGAGCTACAATAATACAGACTGATTATGAGTAAACTAGAAAAAAGTGTTCAGGTACATTATCAAAATAAAAACAATTTGAAACAGAATTTGGGATTTGAAGATTCGAAATTACTGCCTTGCCTTTATAGTAAGTCCAGACCTGCTTCTTGCTACCCAAAACTTCAAATGATAAAATATGAAAGTCCCATTTAATTTTTTTGAGACAAAACCATAACTATTTTTGGTTTCAGTGTTCTAAGAAAGTGAGTAGAATGACAAAGGAAAACCTTCTGATTTGATAAATGACCTATTCCACCTTCTTGGCAGCTGGTAGTGGGTGTAACAGGGAGGAAGTGAAAGGAGGGATGAGAACTGAGAACTGAAAAGAAGAAGCAAGGAGGGAGACAGGATGCTGGGAATCATCAGTGGTTGGAATATGAAAAAAGTAGTCACTGGCTTTATGGCCAGAGAGTTTCATAGGAGAAAAGAATGCCTCTAGAAAAATATAAAGATTGGAATATTTTTGAGAAATTATCATCTAATTAATTATTTCTTTCTTACCTTTTTAAAAAATAAACCAAATTAAAGAAAAATCAGTTCATCATTCTCGTAAGTTGCTTTAGTTTGCTGATTTGCAAGTCAAACTAATCCTTAATATACCAATGTTCGAATTATGTCTCCCTAAAAAGAAAAAACTACAAAATGCAAAAATCCTGCTGAAATATTATTAGCCAATTAGATTTGTCTGCAATTTCCAACAGCATTGTACCACTGCTCCATGACAATGGAAATCCTCTTATAGATATCTCAAGTTTTAGGTGTTGAATAATGAATTTGTACGTAAGGAAACGTAGTAGAAAAAGTGTTGGGGCATAGGCAAAGAAACCAATTTTGCCACGAACCAGCTCTAAGACCTTGAACAAACCACTTAACTTCTCTGGGATCACAGCTTCCTCACCTATGAAATGAAGGGATGGACTAAATGACTTCTAGTCTGAAGAGTTACAATGGGCTTCTAAGCAGTCTCCTACTTCCCACTTTTTTTCTTTGATTCATTTAAAATCAATCTAATTAAGTCATTCCCCTGCTTAATATACTTTAATGGATTTTCATTGCTTTTGAGATTCATTCTTTCATTTAACGCTAAATATTTATTGAGCACCATCAATGTGTTCAAGCGTGGCACACAATGTCCTTCATAATAGGGCCCTTTTAAATTTAAAGTCCTTAAAAAATACTCTCTCCCCTAGTAACTTTGGTTACTCCCACTAGGTCTTTTGGGACAGGAAAAAAAAGGCAAAGAATCACTGCTATAGAAGTGATATTAGTAACTCTGTCAGAGTGGTTTAATTTACTCACTCTATAATTTTCAGCACAAAGAGTTGCTTCTTGGATGATAAAGAATTTTTCTAATTATATGTTCACTATTTTTGTAGCGTAGGTAAACATTTATATTACTGAGAAATATTTCTTGTATCCCGTATCCAAGATACAGGACACATACAGGTTTCTAAATGAGATAAATCATAGAATAACAGTAGCTTTAATATAAACTGGAAATTCCAGATAGGGAGATAGTTTGGAGGGTAGAACCGTAATGAATTCAGTTTAAACCACTTCAAACCCAGTATGTACAAGAGTTAGGGCTGCATTTTTCTTCCCCTTCACTTCATTTAAGATCCATTAGTACTTCTTTAGGGTATAAAGTAGATTGGTGCTTAACATCCAATCCAGCCCCTTCTGGTGTGCCATTCTTCACTGCAGATGCTGAAAAGCTGGAAACTACATTTCCTAGACTTCTTTGCAGCTGGAGTTGGGATACATTCAACATTGGCAGGGCAGAAAGGAGACAGAATTCATTCTTATGCTGCCTTTGGTTTTTCTAGAAGCAAGCATGGTCTGTAGACATCTGATTTTTCTGTGGCAATGTTATCAGAAGTGCCAGTATCTGATCACTAGTTTCATGGATAGTCAAGTCATGGAACATCAGTTTTCTGACGCCTATTACGACAGGTATGGTGTGATTCTGGAGCCAGAAGCAGTAAGGAAGCTTCCTGCTCATGGAGGCTTCTTATTTGTGGGGGGCTTCCTTGACACGGCAGTTTTGTAATTGTGATGACTTCCTGATTGGGCAGTGTCGCTGTGGTTCTGGAGACTCCAGCATTAGCATCAGCTTCCCAGTTTTTCAATTTGCTTCCTGACTGTACATGCAGCAACTGGCTCTCAGGGGCTCAGTTCTGCAATATGTCCTTGGAAATCATTCCTGAAAGCCCAAAATACATTATTTCTCCATCACGCCCAACAATTCTATAAGCTGATAAATGCCTATTAGTAGATCCCTTTTTACCTAAATTAGCTATCATGAATTCTGTAACTAGCCCCGATCAGTACAGTTCTCCACTGTCTATAGGAACAAGTCAAAAGTTATCCTAACATTGAAGGTGCTCCATAATCTAGTTCCATTTTGCAAAGGTGAACACTTTACAATATCTGACAAATTTTCTCTTGTCAACAGCACATCATTTCTGCCGCATGTCTTTGCTTGCAGTTTATTTTCTTATTTCCTTTACCTCGTAAATCTCTTACTATTAGGTATTGCCTGCAAGCTACAGTTTTGGCATTTTATTGTTTATGAATTTCTGTAGGCACTTGAATTTACAAACATCTTAAAAATCATATCCTATACATACTTAAATTAAAATAATTTCTTGGTTTTTCTTATTATAAATGGAAAACTTATATAATCTCTAGACAAAACAGAAAAGCATAAAGAAGAAAATGAAAATCACATGCTATTCCAGCATCCACCATTAGCACTGTTTGGATGACTACCATCATTTTTTTGGAACTTTTTCTCTATTTGTATATATTTACGTAACTGAGTTAATACTATACATGCTGTTTCATAAACTTCCTTTTTCATATAATGTATTTAGAGCACATTTCCATGTCAATAAATATAAATGTACATTATTTAATTTTTGACTAGTACCATCAAAGTACTTTAAGTCTTTGCAAGGTTAAAATTCTAATGCAGAACTATATTAGTAAGCTCTTAAAAATATAAATGTGTTTTAAATGACAAAAACTCCTTTTTATGAGGTAAGAATTATGTTGACTAGAAGTAAACTATAGGATACAGAATGGAGACTCAGAGAACAGTGTATTTGTGGTGTTTTTGTTAAGAGAAACGATGTATACATAACAGAACATAATTAAATGTTGGCAGAGATAACTTAAGAACATAAAAGTCAGTCAATTTATACAACACTTTAAAATTAATGACTCAGTGCAGACCTTTAAGACCCATTGCATAGTAAAATTGTTTTTTTGTGAACCTTGCTGCCACCTATCTGTATATTGCAAGCACACTTTATTAACTTAGCAATTACAGTCTTTATAGTAAAGTCTTTCTATCTGAGGATAATTTTCTCACAAAGGGCTAAAGTGAATGTACTCAACAGATGGACCAACATTTGGGTAGTAAAGAGTAAAAAGAGATAATTGAAATTTTCTATTAAAAAATAAATCTCAAAATTATACAAATAAGTTTATTTCATTTTAGCAAATTTTAAGGTATAATTGCAACTATGTTATAATTTCTAGAGCAAATGATTTTTGGAGTGTAATTTTTAAGGTCTAAAATATTCTTTAAAGTAATTTTAACAATTACAAATTTTAAATTATCTATGTAAAATCATAAGAACTAAAAGTTTCTACTTCCCTTAAAAGTTAAATTTCTGGATACTTTATTTCCCATATACACTCTAATACACATACTTCCATGGACAGATACATAAACACACACACACACCCATTACTATCTAGGTAAGTAGTTCTGAGGAAAACTTCAAGATTTAGTCAGTTGTCATAGCAGTACATGAGGAGTGATCTTGAGGTATTTTTTGCGGCAGAGGGGTCTGTAAAGACAAAGCTGGGTTTTATAAACATTACTCCATCAACTAGCAACTTTATTTTAGAATGCTAAAACCATGGTGGGGCTATTAAATATTAGGTCAGATGCAGAGGGAACTGAAAAGTTTGGGAACTGCAGAATCTCCATATCTTTCTGTTTTCAAAAAGGTGCTGCTCCATTTTCTCTCTAGAACAGACCAGTTCATCGCCAACACCCTTTATGCCCTGCATTCTACACCAGCATGCCACTGCATTTCAAGTTTCTCAAAATACCTCTGAGAGTGCCTCTTTGCAGTGGAAGCAGGAGGATATAATTTTACATGTGGAACTTTATATCTATGATTGTGTTTGCTAAAATTTCTCACTGAGAGGTAAAAAGACTACAGTGATTAAGTGCTCAGTTCTGGAATCAAAATACTGGGGTTCATACCCAGTTCTGTTGTTTAATGATAGCGTGATCTTGGGCACGTTACTTAAACTCTGTCCCAGTTTTGTTGTCTATAAAACAGCGATATTAGTTGTCTTCTCTCACAGAAATGTTCTATGAATTAAATAAGTCACTGCATGGAGAGCATTTAGAATAGAACTTGGCATATAGTATGCACTCAATAAATATTAGTTTTTATTCTCTATTCTAAATGTGACATCAAATTATATAATGTTGTCTGACTGGTAAAACTTCTGCTAGACCGAGTAAAACAATCTCCATAATAATACCAACAGCATTATTTATTGAATTCTTACTATGTTCCAGGCATTTCACCTAGATCTTAAAAGGCATTAATCCAATATCTCAGCAACTTTAATATTATTCCCATTTTACAGATAAGGGAATCAAGAAACAGATAATTTAATTAACTTGCCCATTATGGGAGAATTAGTGGAGTAGAGTCAAGCCGAGGCTTGTCTGATTTCAGAGTCAATTTGTAATCCCTCTTCCCTAACAAAAAAAAAAAAAAAGAAAGAAAAAAGAAAAAATGGCCTTAGCAGCTGATAGCATTTGTTAAAGCATTACAAGTTTTAAAAAATTTACTAGCTCAACTATTGATTAATGAATTTATTCAATAAGTAATGTATTTTCTGATTAAAATTCCCTTGCAATTTTTTTGAAATCATGAAAATAGGACATAGTTTCATAGAATCAGCTAGGAAGAAGTCTTCGGAGCATCTAATTTAGCTTTCCCATTATATAATTAAGGAAACACCCAGAACGGTGCCACAATTTGTCCTAGATGACATAGCTAATCAAGGGCTGAGCATGTTTCATGACTCCTGATCTAGCACTCCTATCAGGACATCATACTTCAATATATTTATATAGGTCATGTTGCTGGCAATGCTTCATGAAAATATTACCTACATATTTGAAACAAGAATACAAGCTATTGTCATTATCATCATCATCATCATTATTATATTATTACTTTCAGAGATGATGCATAGACGGGCTGCGTGTGGCTGACGAGCCTGCACAGGGAAATCCTTCTGTGCAAACGACTTCTGCAATTTCTACCTCTTATTCTTCCAAGCATTACTTTTTACTCTATAATAGAACCGCTGAGAAGTTTTACACGGGGCTCAAGGGGCAAAGGCGGTTCCCCACATCGTGCCTACCAAGTAAAGGCCCAGCTTTCTGCTCAGCCTCCGCGTCGTGCGGAGACACAGAGAGGGAAGAATGACCGAGCCATGGGAGAAAGAGAGGAGGGGCAGGGCTACGGGGAGGAGGGAGGACGAGGCTGGGAGGGGTGGGACAGTGGGCGGGTACAGTGAGAGGGCGGGCCCATAACGGCTTTCTTCCTATTGGGTTGCAAGGCCCGTTCTGCGCATGTGCAGCCTATTTCAAACTGCGCAGAGGGCTGGGCGCCAGTGTTTGTGGAGGGCGGAGCCTAATGGGTGGCGAGGTCTCGCGGTGCGCGCTTGCCGCCTCGACGCTCGCTTGAGTCGGCTGCCACCGCTTCACGGGCGCTCCCGGGTCGCCGCTTATCTTCTCCGGCGGCTCTGTCGGCGCAAGTCTTCCTCGTGCCGCGGCCTGTGTTGGCTTCCGCCCCCGACCCAGTGCGCGGGCGGAGCCGGGCCGGAACATGGCTGCCTCCGGTCTGGTAAGTGCGGGCCGCGGCCGCCCTGGCCCTCGCGCCCTAGGCGGGGGAGAACGAGACTTTGGGCCGGTGCTGTGGCCTCTTTTGCGTTTTAGTGGGAAAAACGCGCGAATTTTTTGAGATCGGGAGTGATCGTGTGCCGATAGCCAGAGTTATTTGTATTTTTCTTCAAGGTTTCTTGTAATTTCGGTTGTGACGGCATTTTTCTCTTCAGAGAATCTTGTGATTTCTACTTTTTGTCCTACCTCCAGTTCCTAGTGTTCCAAATAATTTTCTGTCCATGGAAGTATTGGAACGCCTTAAAAGTATGCGTTTGCTTCAGACTTGCCGGTCTGGAGAAGCAGATTATCTATGGAACATCTGTTATTGATAAAGTTTTGTGAAAGACAGCTGTTAAAAGCTGCATGCTGTGAGTACGGTCCGGGCGGGAACTCATTTTTTGTTTACATGTTTCTGGACTCCCTCGATATTCACTATTCCATATTTCAAACTTCGCTTATGGTTACTATATATTGTACAGCCCATTATTAGTCCCTATTGTAAACTTGTGTTTTCTGCTTTATCTCCCCTTTTAAAATCTTCAGCATTGATGAACTCCCATTTATATAAAGTTATATATGTTTGCTTGTATGCCTAAAGAGATGTGTGCCAGGGTGGTATAGAGTGTACTTTTTACTATGAGCACATACATTGTTTACATCATATATAATAGTAATAAAAAGAGGAATAAAGCCATTCTCATTGGGAGAAGTGGAGGGGAATAAAATTTATCGTAATGCCCACAGTTCATTTTTTTTAAAAAGACTTCTATTTTTTTAGAACAGTTTTAGATTCACAGCAAAATTGAGCAGAAGGTACTGAGATTTTCCGTGGACCTCTTGCCCCCACACCTGCATAGCCACCCCCGTTGTCAACATCCCCACCAGAGTGATGTATCTGTTGTAGTTCATGCACCTACAATGATTCATCAGTATCACCTAAAGTCCGCAGTTTACATTAGAGTTCACTCTTGGTGTTGTACAAATGTCTGATGACATGTCTCCGTCAATGATGTGTATCCATCCATAGTGAACTGATATCTTACAGAGTATTTTCACTGCCCTTGAAATCCTCTGTCCTCCACCTGTTCATCCCTTCCTCCCCCCTCAGCCCTGGAAACCGCTGATTTTTTTTACTGTCTCTGTAGTTTTACCTTTTCCAGAATATCATATAGTCGGAATCATACAGTATGTAGCCTTTTCAGGTTGGCTTTTTTCACTTAGTATTATACAGTTAAGGTTCCTCCATGTCTTTTCATGGATTGATAGCTCATTTCTTTTTTGTTTGTTTTTTTTGTGAGGAAGATCATCCCTGAGCTAACATGCATGCTAATCCTCCTCTTTTTGCTGAGGAAGACTGGCTCTGAGCTAACATCTATTGCCAATCCTACCCCCCCCCCCAAGCCCCAGTAGATAGTTGTATGTCATACTTGCACATCCTTCTAGTTGCTGTACGTGGGACGCGGCCTCAGCATGGCCAGAGAAGCGGTGCGTCGGTGCGAGCCCAGGATCCGAACCCCGGCAGCCAGCAGCGGAGCGCGCGCACTTAACCGCTAAGCCACGAGGTCGGCCCCGATAGCTCATTTCTTTTTAGCGCTGAGTAATACTGCATTGTCTAGTTGTACCACAGTTCATCCATTCACCTAGTGAAAGACAGAACTTGGTTGCTTCCAAGTTTTGGCAGTTATGAATAAAGTTGCAATAAACCTGTGTGTGCAGATTGTTGTGTGGACATAAGTTGTCAACTCTTTGGGTAAATACCAAGGAGCATGATTGCTGGATCGTATGGTAAGAGTATTTTTAGTTTTGTAAGAAACCACCAAACTGTCTTCCAAAGTGGCTGTACCATTCCAAAATGAGTGAGAGTTCCTGTTGCTCCACATCCTCACCAGCATTTGGAGTTGTCATTATTCCAGGGTTTGGCCATTCTAATAGATTTGTAGTAGTATGTCATTGTTGTTTTAATTTGCATTTCCATGATGACAGAAATGATGTGGAGTGTCTTTTCATATGCTTTTTTGCTATGTCTTCTTGGGTGTGGTGTGTGTTAAGATTTTTGGCCCATTTATTTTTTAATTGAGGTTTTTTTTTTCTATTTGTTGAATTTTAAGAGTTCTTTGTATATTTTGGATAACAGTCCTTATCAGATGTGTCCTTTGCGAATATTTTCTTCCGGTCTGTGGCTTGTCTTCTCATTCTCTTGACCACAGTTCATTTTTCAGATACATCAAGTCGTTTAAAAGACAAGGGAGAGAGGAGTTCGAGAGATTATTTTCAGTCAATCCTGTACTTTAGTGGTTCTTTTTTTTTTTTTTTTTTAATTTTTTTTTTTTTTTTTTTCCCCCAAAGCCCCAGTAGATAGTTGTATGTCATGGTTGCACATCCTTCTAGTTGCTGTATGTGGGACGCGGCCTCAGCATGGCCGGAGAAGCGGTGCTTCAGTGTGCGCCCGGGATCCGAACCCAGGCCGCCAGCAGTAGAGCATGCGCACCTAACTGCTAAGCCACGGGGCTGGCCCAAACTGGCGGTGATTTTGACCCATAGGAGACATTTGGTGATTTCTGGAAAGAATGCTGGTTGTCCTGAAAGGGGCTGGAGGAGGGGTGTGCTAAGAGCACCTAATGGGTGGAGGCCAAGGATGCTGCTAAGCTTCTTACAGTGCACAGGACAGGCCCTCACAACAGAGTCATCTAGCCCAAAATGTCAGTAGTGCCAAGGTTGAGAAACCCTGCTGTGTTGTGTATTATTTTCTTTAAGAAACAATCTCACAGTGAATGGAAGAAATGGAAATTGACTGAAAAATGAGTTGAAATTGGCAGTTTTTGAGTGTGTATTTATTTTGAAAATTAAATATTTTTACATTCTAACTTTTAATTTAGAATTAGGAGACTTTGTTTGTCTTGTTCACCACTTATTTTCTAGTGTTCCTAAATGGCACTTGGCCCTGTAGTAGGTGCTCAATTAATATTTGTCAAATGAATGAACTATCTTAGCCTTAAAATTTTTCTGTTTCAAAGAGCGACAGAGGGTACTTTACAGGTGTTCTTTAACGTTCAGAAACATTCAGTGTGCAAATTTGATGAATCTTTTCAATTTATTGTGTGAAATTAAAAGAGTAGCCTTAAATTAGGCCTTGGAAGGTAGTTAACTAACATTCTCAGGGGTTTACTTAAGGGTTTCAAACTGCTGAGTACTGGTCAGAGACCTAAGTGCTTGACTTAAGTTTCCATCAAATGACTTGTGATAAAATGGATACTTTTTAGATGTCTTTGTTCCTTAAGTCTGCTACCTAAAAAATAAATTTCATCTTTTGCTTCTTAGGTACTTCCTGAGGATAACAGGCTATGTGAAACACTTTTACCTTCTTTAAAGAAGTACATTTTTATTTCATAAGTTTTTGGTCTTATTTATTTGGGATGTCAAAAAGATAGCAAAAAATGGTGTTTGTGTGGTGTACAATGCACTAGACAAGGCTCTGGGAAGAATATAAACTAGCTTAAGGCAAAGTCTTGTGCTCTCAAGTTTCTTAAAATCTCATAGAGGTCTTCATCTTCCTGAGTAATTCAATGCAAAAGCCATTAGATTGGGCCAGACAAGGCAGGGATCCCTGTGGGTGCAAAGCTACAGTGTTAGAGCAGTGTATAGGAGCCTGAGTGGAGTCAGGAGTGGGGCCCAGCTCTGCATGTCAGAGCATGAGTGGGATAAAGAGAGTGTCCACGTGGGGTGGGGTCATTTATATCCCATTGGGCCAAGTAAAAGGTTTAATAAACGTTTGCTATTGATAATATTTTCATTTTTGAAGCATGCTGTTCATCCTAATGCTACCCAATTTTCAACTAGAAAATTAAACTTGATGGATTTTACAATGAAAAGATAGGAACCAAAGTATCACAGATATGCTCTCTACCTCCAATATCAGCATGTCTGTGTGTTTTATTTTTGCTGTTCCCATTGATTGGTGCTGCTTCTTTGTTGGGATTACCTATTTTCTCTTTCTGGAAGCATTCTAGGGTCTTTTTATCCTCAATGTTTCTGAAATTTTATTGTTATGTTCCTAGATATGGATCTTCTTAAATTCATTATGCTGGCTATTCACGTCCTACAGCTTTGGGAAATTTGACTGTATATCTTCTTCTCTTCCCCCCCCAAAGCCCCAGTAGATAGTTGTATGTCATAGTTGCACAGCCTTCCAGTTGCTGTATGTGGGACACAGCACCAGCGTGGCCGGAGAAGCGGTGCGTCCCCGGGATCCAAACCCAGGCTGCCAGCAGCGGAGCGCGCGCACTTAACCGCTAAGCCAGGGGGCCGGCTCCTGATTGTATATCTTCTTAGAGTATATCTCTTTACTTTTTCTTTGTTCTGTCTGGAATAACTATTGGTCAGAAGTTGGACCTCCTGGTTTTTGGATCTTTGTTTTATTTTTTTCTCCCATTTTCCATCTCCTCTTCGTCTTTTGTTCTTTTTCCCTCTAGTAATATCCTCAGCTTTTTCTTAATCACTGCTTTTTTTTTTATTTTAGGCAATCATGTTTTTAATTATTGAGTTTTTTTCTTGCTCTCTGTTTAGTGTTTATAGTAGACCGCTTTTGTTTTGTGAGTCCAATATTATCTCAAATCTCTGTTGAAGGTACTAATTAGAATTTCCTTTTTTTGTTTGTTTTTGAAGTTTTCTTTTTTCTCATACTTGATATTAGTTTCTTCTTGGGCCTATTTCGTTTTTGTTTTTAAAATTTATAGACTTTAAAGTGTCTGGTGATCTGTAGATGCTGGTGATATTTAAGACTGAGAGAGTAGAATACTGTTTTTGAACTCTGTGTTTATGAGGATAGGGGAAGGTAGCAGTCTGCCATTCTATATATAGGTTTCCTTTTGATTGCTCTGTTTTTCTTACTTTTCTCACTGTTTTCTTCCTTCACATCTTGAATTTCCTAGTTCTGCATAGTTATGGTTTTCTCCCAGACATATCAGCTTCACTCCTCACCAAGGACAGTATCCTCTGAGCTTACTTTAGGCTGCTACTGCCTTTATTCTGTTTCATCAATTATAACGCTTCATTTATTTTCCATCTTCCAAAAATTTGTAAAATTTGTCCGCAGATGGTCCTCTCGTCCATTCTCTTTTTCATTGTTATTTTATGCCATTTTAGTCCTTTACTATTATTTTAGAGGGATCTCCCTGCAGAAAAAGGAGGTAGGTAGATATTGTTAGTCAACCAACTTGAATTATTGGAATCTCAGATAGGCTGTTGGTGATGGAAAAGGAATAGGAGGAGTTGGGGGAAGAGGAGGAAGAAGATGGAGTAAATCCCAGGGTGAGGAAATAGTACAAGCATAGGTTGAGAAACAGTAGATATGAGGGAAGTTAGTTCTCTTTCACTTGATCTAGAAGAATTCTTCTTTATAGTATTATAATAGGCAGTTAACAAATACTTACTGAGTAAACAAAGAACTTAAATTTTCTGGCCTGCTCCTGTTGGGGTGAAATTACTTTGAAGACAGGTTGTATTTGTATATATTTTAAACAGGAAGACTAAACTGATGATTTATTTTTTTTTCAGGATCATCTCAAAAATGACTACAGAAGGAGATTTTGCCGACCTTACAGGTAATTTATATACTTAAGCTTTTAAGGTGATTTTTATTCCCATCTTCAGAAAGTGGAATTCTTTTTTATTGATATCATAATAGTTCATAACATTGTGAACTTTTAGTTGTACATTATTGTTTGTCAGTCACCATATAAATGCATCCCTTCACCCCTTGTGCCCGCCCCCAACCCTTTTCCCCCTGGTAACCACCAGACTGTTCTCTCTGTGTGTTAGTTTATCTTCCACATATGAGTGAAATCATGTGGTGTTTGTCTTTCTCTGTCTGTCTTATTTTGCTTAACATAATACCCTCCAGGTCCATCCATGTTGTCGCAAATAGAATGAATTTGTCTTTTTATGGCTGAGTAGTATTCCATTGTGTGTGTGTGTGTGTGTGTATATATATATATGTATATATATATATACACACACACACCATATCTTCTTTATCCAGTCATCAGTCGAGGGACACTTGGGTTGCTTCCACTTCTTGGCTGTAGTGAATAATGCTGCAATGAACATAGGGGTGCATAAGCCTCTTTGGATTGTTGATTTCAGGTTCTTTGGATAGATACCCAGTAGTGGGATAGCTGGATCGTAAGGTATTTCTATTTTTAATTTTCTGAGAAATCTCCATACTGTTTTCCATAGAGGCTGCACCAGTTTGCATTCCCACCAGCAGTAAATGAGGGTTCCCTTTTCTTCACAGCCTCTCCAACATTTGTTATGTTTTGTCTTGGTGATTATAGCCGTTCTAATGGGTGTAAGGTGATATCTTAGTGTTTTAATTTGCTTTTCCCTGATGATTAGTGATGTTGAACATCTTTTCATGTGCCTATTGGCCATCTGTATATCTTCATTGGAAAAATGTCTCTTCATAGCCTCTGCCCATTTTTTGGTTGGTTTGTTTGTTTTTTTGTTGGTCAGTTCTGTGAGTTCTTTATATATTATGGAGATGAACCCGTTGTCGGATTTATGCTTTGCAAATACTTTCTCCCAGCTGGTGGGTTATCTTTTCATTTTGATCCTGGTTTCATTTGCCTTACAGAAGCTCTTTAGTCTGATGAAGTCCCACTTGTTTATTTTTTCTTTTGTTTCCCTTGTCCAAGTAGACAAGGAATTTGAAATTGAAAATTCAATTCAATTCAAATAGAATTTGAAAAGATCCCTCTATGACCAATGTCAGAGAGTGTACTGCCTATGTTTTTTCCCAGGAGTTTTATAGTTTCAGTTCTTACCTTCAAGTCTTTGATCCATTTTGAGTTAATTTTTGTGTATGGCAAAAGAAGATGGTCTCCTTTCATTCTTTTGCATGTGGCTGTCCAGTTTTCCTAACACCATTTATTGAAGAGACTTTCCTTTTTCCACTGTATGTTCTTAGCTCCTTTGTTGAAGATTAGCTGTCTGTAGATGTGTGGTTTTACTTTTGGGCTTTCAATTCTGTTCCATTGATCTGTTTGTCTGTTTTTGTACCAGTACCATGCTATTTTAATTATTATAGCTTTGTAGTATATTTTGAAGTCAGGGATTGTGATGCCTCCAGCTTTGTTCTTTTTTCTCTGGATTGCTATGGCTATTTGGGGTCTTTTGTTGCCCCATATGAATTTTAGTATACTTTGTTCTGTTTCCGTGAAGAATTTCATTAGGATTCTGATTGGGATTGCATTGAATCTGTAGATTGTTTTAGGTAGCATGGACATTTTAACTATGTTTATTCTTCTGATCCGTGTGCATGGGATGTCTTTCCATTTCTTTATGTCATCATCGATTTCAGGAAGTGGAATTTTTAAATGAAGAAAGGAAAAATTATTACCTCTGACTAAAATAATGATATCTCTGCCCACTGATTAAGTATAATCACTTTAGTTATTTTATATTAATAGAGAAATATTATAATGCAAGCAGTGCAGTATCTTAGTGGCAGTGTGAAAAGAAATTGACCTAATAAATGGTAGATTGAGAAGAGGCAGTCTCAGTTCTGACTAAATGATAGTCATGGGGAAAGCACTCTGTCGAATGGATTAAATGGAAATATTAGAAAGGTGCAGCTTACTCAGTGAGGCCAAAAGAAAAGGTGGATGTGGTTATAAAAAGGAAATAGAAGGATCTTTGTGGTGATGGAACTGTTCAGTATCTTGAATGTAGTGGTGTTATTAGAATCTACAGATGTGATGAATTGTATAGTACTAAATACACACACACAAAGATAAACAAATGAGTACGGGTAGAACTAGAGAGATCTGAATAAGATTGGTAGATTGTTATCACTATCAGTATTAATATTGTTATCAATATCAATATCAGTATATCAGTTATCAATATCATAGTTGTGATAATATACTATAGTTTTGCAAAATGTTACCATTAGGGAAAACTGGGTGAAGTGAACAAGGGATCTCCTCTGTATTATTTCTTAAAACTGCATGTGAATCTACAATTATCTCCATACAATTTTAATTTAAAACATTAGCAGCTTAATGGTATTGAATCAAAGTGCATTTGAGAACTTGTAGGGAAGACTGTTACTTGGAGCTGTTAGGACTTGTGACTGTGGAGTCTTTATTAAAGAAGCATTTCAGGACTGGTTGGATTTGTTGAAAAAAGTTTTATGTTCCTGTGTCTACAGCAGTAATCTAAAACAGCTTTAGATGTGGCTGTTTGATCAAGGAATATAATTGTTAGTATAGGTAATGACATACTACTTCACATACTTTCTGGGAACTCTTGGACTCTCGAGTGCTTGTTTTATCCTCAGATAGTAAAGGTGATATTTTTCCCGTTAAGTAAATTAACATTTTATAATAAGGAGATAAGGAATTTTCAAAGTAGATGGTGACATAAATAAGAAATATCTTCTGGAAATGATATGTTAATGTGTTCCCTTCTTTCCTTCTTATTAGGGCACCTGACATTAATATGGAGGTAGGCCAGAACATACTGGAAATCTTACAAGACTGTTTTGAAGAAGAAAGTAAGGCTTTGTTTCTAAATGGACTTTGAGGGTTGGGATAGATGAAAATACAAATTTGTCGTATTAATTAATATCAAATGCAGCAAATGTGTTCTAGCATTTAAATATATGTAAAATATATTCCCAGGAATTTTGAGTACATGTGCAGTCCTTCAGGTACCTTCTGGTATGCTGAGGATAATACTGGCAAAAATGGGAATAATTTGTCATTCTTTTTAGTTCACACTAGATTGCTGTAGTCTGGAAGTCCATAGATAATTATGCACAAGAGAAAATATTTCATGTAATGGAAATAAATATGCAGAATTCTTGGGATCGCTGAGGAGCTTGAGATAATTTTTGGTGATTTACCAAAGAAATTTCTAAAGAAATGTTGAATTGCGGCAAAAAACTTTTCTAAGTGCTGGTTAGCATCAGAAGGTTTTGGAATAATAGGCCAACCAAAGAAATAAACACAGATAGTGGAAACTATCTCTTCTTTACGGACTCTGAAAGAAGACTGGCACATAATTTCTTAGGAATCTTGTTGTCTTTTTCAGTTCCTTGGGTCTTCTAGGAGCATTTGAATATTGAATTGCTGTCCATTACAGTCAGCTATTTGTGTTTAAAGAGTCAACAGACTTGTTCACACGTCATGTAGGGCTTCTTTTAATTGTATCCAAAAGATTTTATACGATATTTTGCTTTTTAAAATTTCTTAATTTTTTTTTAGGTCCTTCCAATGATTTTAGCAAAAATTCTACAAAATCAGTGCTTTATTCAACACCTAAAATAAACGATGTTTGTATTCAGTCACCAAACAAAGAGGTAAGTCAAAAAGGAGAGCTGGTACAAGTTTAATATTTTAATGAGTGAAGCAATACACAATATAGTTAGATACGTGTTAGTAAAATTGTTTGTAAATCTTATTCTTAAAAGGGAATCCTATATTCCCATTGACTTTCTCTGAAATTTAGAGGTATTTTGTGAAAATTTTGATTTGACATTTCCTGTGTTTGGAATTGGAGGTCTGGGAATTAGAATTACCAAATTATAACTAATCATTTTTTGTTTTTTAAAGCAGATGTAGTTTTATTTATTTATTTTTATTTTTTGTTTTTATTTATTTATTCTTTTTTCCCCCAAAGCCCCAGTAGATAGTTGTATGTCATAGGTGCACATCCTTCTAGTTGCTGTTTGTGGGACGCGGCCTCAGCATGGCCAGAGAAGCGGTTTGTCAGTGCGCACCCGGGATCCGAACCCGGGCCGCCAGCAGCGGAGCGCGCGCACTTAACCGCTAAGCCATGGGGCCGGCCCTAACTAATCGTTTTTTATTTCTCCTAAAATAATACTTAAATTAGGTTTTTAGGAAAGTGGGCAGCTATTGAAGTTTCTAATCCAGGTTAGTGAGTTTGGTTATTTTTTGAAAACTGAAGGCAATCTATTGCTTTACAGGGAAATCAATCTTTTATTGATTATATATCTTAGGAGGAGAACTCTACAAAATAGCAGACTTTCAAATAGAATTTTTGAAGGTGATGATCGAAGACAAATTAATCAAAAGCACAATACTAATTGGAGAGAAAAATATTATAGTGCTAGGAATAACATCAACTAGAAACTTATGTAAACAAATAATTAAACATATACAGCCTTTTGGTTCCAAGGAATGAAGACAGATGCATTTCTTTCAGAATTGAGAGACCTTTAATGTGGTAAATTATACTGACTTTTGAAAGTTGAATCAACTTTAAGTTTCCTGGGATAAACTTGACTTGATCATAAAGTATTACCATTTTTGATTTGGTTTGCTAATATTTAAGATGTTTGCATCTATGGTCATGAATAATATTGTCTTTTCTTTTCTTAAAATGTTCTTGTAGGGCTTTAATGTCAAGGTTGTGTTAGAAGTTCCTCTTCTAGGTAGGATGTAACAGATTGTAGTAGGCCACCACTCCTGCTGCAACAGCTAGTTTAAAGAATAAAAGGCAAACATCATATTTCTAGAGACGTGGGAAGCTGTGGAAGTAATGAGGACTAGATGAACTAAAATTCCAAAGAGAGAAGAATTCTTGGAAGATGAGTTGATGATTGTTAGTTGTTTTCTTCCCTGAGAATATTTGCTAATTTTGGGCAACAGCTGAGAGATTTAGGTTGGCCCAGACAGAGGGAGTCTGCTGTGGGAAAGCAGAGCTTTTTTCAGGTGTGCGGGGATGGCATGACAAATTGGAAGAGGTGCCCAAATGGATAGCTACTTTTCCTTAAAGCACATTTGTTAGCTCTGGGGTGGTGCAGAACCCTGGGCCAGAAAGGTGGAGTGAAATATGTAGTCTTGCTGTGCTAAGAAGACAAAGTCCTGCTGCACAAAGGGGCCCACAACAAGTAGGCATTTGACGGATTTTGAAGCAGTCTGGGGCAGGAGGCTAAAAAGTTAAGCCAAAACCTCTAAAGGGCTGAACCGAATCTCTCACAGTCTTTCAGGTGTGAGAGACTCACCAGGTTCTCAATTACCCAGGAGAGCTCATTCTGAAGAATAAGGCAGACTACAAGTGGACTGAGTCTTACTAAAATTTTATCTCGAACTGACCCAGCCCAGTCCTAAGAGAGAGCAAGGAGCTGATCATTTCAATCCAATGTGCCTAATAGGAGAAAAAGAGAAGATACTCTAGAGAAAGATATTATGGGGAGCCTCTACTTTTTTTTTAAATCAAGCTTTTTATTTTGAGATAATTGTAAATTAACAAGCAGCTGTAAGAAATAATAGGGTGCAAACTCATGTACCCTTTACCTAGTTTGCTCTAAATTTAACATCTTGCAAAACTATAGTACACTATCACAACCAGGACATTAACATTGATAAGATACAGAACAATTCCATTACCACAGGATCCCTCTTATTGTCCTTTTATAGTAACACTCACTTCTCTATTGCCCTCACCCCCTCCTTAACCTTTGAAACTTCTAATTTATTCTCCATTTCTACAATTTTGTTATTTCAAGAATGTTGTTTAAATGGAGTCATATAGTGTATAACTTTGGAATTGACTTTTTCACTCAGCATAGTTCTTTGAAGATTCATCTAGGTTTTTGTGTGTATCAGTAATTCATTTCTTTTTATTGCTGAGTGGTATTTCATGGTATGGATGTACCACAGTTTTGTTTAACCATTTGCTTGTATCTTAGTGTTCTTTTGATTTAATTGTTGTGGTTTTTCCATTTGTTGATTTTCTGTGCGCTGTAACTAATTTATCACCAGTTTCTTTGACAAAATTATAAATATCTTCTCAGTGTATGTAGACACATCAAGTAATTTATTATTTTCAGTTTTTTTCTGGGGTTATCCCTCCTAGATCTCTCTACCCTTCGTGTTTTGCTACTATTTATTTTTTGGACTGTCACAAAGGTGTTGCCATGTGATTTCTCTTTATCATCCAGGGAAGTCCCTTCCCTTTTCTTGTGTATTGCAGCTCATATTTCTTGGTTCCCAAATTTTCCTTTTTCTTGCTCTCTCCTTTTATGGCAGGGCTCATTCTTTAGTAGCTTCCTGAGAGTTTAAGACCTTAAATGTTTGAAAATACCATGATTTAACCCTCATGATGGGTAATTTGGGTGGATATAGAATTCTGGGTTGGAAATTATTTTTCCTCAGATTTTTAAAGACGTGCGCTATTTTCTTTTAGCTTCTTGTGTTATCATTGAGAATACCATTCTGATTCCTTGATCCTTTGAGAGTCACTATTTTTTTTTGTCTTTGCAAGCTTTCAGGACCTTGTCATCTGTCTTTAGTGAGCTGAAATTTCATGATATTCCTTGATGTTAGGTTCCTCTAATGTTTTTTATTAAGATTTCTTCTTATAGTTTGTTTCCTACAGGTACTTCTTTTGCTTACTTTGCTCAGTGCCTTTTACACTAGAGCCTTTTGTCATATGTCTAGTGATCCTCAGCTGTCTCCTCATATTTAAGAGTGGAAAACTAAAGGAAGCTCTATTTGCATAGTAAAATTTGTACATTGGTAGATTTCACTGTGGTGTGATCTCTCTGGGCCATGTCATTGTGGATGTCCAGGTGTTAGTATCTGCAGGTTTTTTTCTCTTGGCTTGGTAGGTTTTTCTGACAAATCTTCTCTCCTGCTTGGAGGTCTGATTCTAACTGCGAGTATTCTCAGCCAGGTGGGGTAAAGGGGAAGGTGCAATTTAAATACTTCTACTTAATATTTAGTTTTTAATGTATTACTCTTACCTTCAGCTGTATCTCATGCCACTGAGTTCACAGTCTCTCGGATTCTGAGACTCCAGAGAGTAAACATTTTCCACGAGGGTTGGGGGAGGTGGGCCTCTGTGACTGTCACTACTTCCTATATATACATTTAACAACTCTTCTGGGTCTGGCCCCATGGCGTAGCGGTTAAGCGCACGCGCTCCGCTGCTGGTGGCCCGGGTTCGGATCCCGGGCGCGCACTGATGCACCGCTTGTCAGGCCATGCTGAGGTGGCGTCCCATATAAAGTAGAGGAAGATGGGCACGGATGTTAGCTCAGGGCCAGTCTTCCTCAGCAAAAAGAGGAGGATTGGCATGGATGTTAGCTCAGGGCTCATCTTCCTCACAAAAAAAAAAAAAAAAAAACACAACTCTTCTGTTTGCAGAAGTATTGGACCATCTGGACCTCCTCTTTTAGAGATGCTTTTACATCTAATTATTGATCTCCATAGAGATAGAGGTAAAAGAGTTTCTCTATAAACATAAGTCTCTGCTTCTGGCCTTTCTCCATCGCTAGTATGTTTCTGCTCTCTGGGCTGATTAGTTGCTACTGATCTGCTTTCCAATTTAAAAAAGTCTGTTGACAGCTCTCATCTGCTCCCTTCTCTTTCTCTTCATCCTTCTGGGTTTATACATTTTTAAAACTCCTTCATGTAGTTTTGAGGGAGCAGGATTTAATGAAAATTTGTGTTTGTTTCTTTATGTAATTGAGTTCCATAATGTAGCCACTGAACAACAACAGTACAATGCTCTATTATTTATATATTCCCCTGTTGGTAGATTTTTAGGTTGTTTCCATCTGTTCATTATCACAGTGATGTAGTGAACATCTTTTTTCATGTCTCCTTGTGCACATGTTATAAATTGAATTTCTCTAGGATATGCACATTTGAAGTGAAATTGTTAAATATTGTCTATTTTTTCTACAAAGTGGTTTACCAGTTTTCTTTCCTACTTGCAATGTATGTGAATGAGATTTTTCTTTTCTAGACTTTTAAAATTTATGACTTGATATATTTCAGATTTACAAAAGAAAATATGTAATGCACATAATGTATTAAAAATAATATAAACAAACACCCATGTGCCTATCCCTCAGTGTAAGAAATACCAATACCTTTGAAGCATATATTTGCCCTTTTCTGATCCTGTTCTTCTGCCTCACCTCCCTGCATAGAGGTAACCACTATCTTGAATTTCATGTTCATTATTCCTATCTTTTATTTTATAGTTTTACCACATATGGATGTGTGCTGACATTTGTCTCAACTTCTTCTACTGCTTGTGACAGAGGTCCCGCTACCCTCCACATGTTGAGTGCTTCACTAGGACTCATGAGACTCAGCATATAGTTGTATTCGTGACATTTATTTTAGTCACACAGTCAGGATACACAGCCAGATCAGTAAGGGAAAAAGACACGTCAGGCACAGTCTGAAGGAATCCATATCAGGCTTCCTCTCCTCCCCAAAGGGGCCGCACAGAGTGCACTCATTGCCTTCAGCAGTGAAATGCAGTAAAACGTGTACAGTCTTTCTGCCCAGGGAAGCCTTTTGAGACTTAGCTTTAAGTTTTTATTGGGGGCTGGTTATGTAGGCACCCTCTGCCCACCAAAATTCTGTACTCCCTGAAGGAAAAAAAGCAGGCATTCACCATAAATCACACTGTTTATACAAACAGTCAAGGCAGGCTGGCATAGCAGGCACAACCCTATCAGTTGGTAATGGAGGAAACATTCTGAAAGCCAAGTCCCCAGGTGCCAACAAGGGCTAGCCCTGTAAGCAGGCCCTTTAAATGATCAGGCCTGCTATGTTAACTCTTTCTGTCGTAGAGAGAATCTCTAAATACTATATATTGTTTTACATGTTTTTGCGTCTATTTGACCTTTATATACTTCTGCAACTTGCTTTTTTTTGGTTAACATAGTCATTTATTCATGTTGCTATAGTTTATTCATTTCACTGTTGTATATATGATATTGTATTATATGACTATATCATAATTTCTTTATCCAGTCTTCTGTCAGAATAGATTTTTGCTGTTCAGAGCAGCATTGTTTCTGTGATAGGTTATATGAAATTTCAACTTTACTAGATAATGCCAAATTGTTTTCTAAAGTAGTTACCAGAGTATACAGCTCTACCAGCTGGTTTATTGTGCTTAAATACTTGTTTTTTTTAACATTTTAAAAACAAATGTGTTCAATCAGAATTGGTAATTTAATAGAGTGGATCTCATGTTGTATCTCTTTTAGGCTCAGTGCCAGAAATCACATCTAAAGTCAGTCCCAGTTTCTTCAAGGAAGAAAGAAGCTTCTCTGCAGTTCACGGTAGAACCAAGTGAAGCTGCCAACAAATCAGGTTGGTGGCATCTGCATGGGTGTTATTTGCCTGGATATATTTAAGAAGTTAGAAATGCTGAATGAAGGTGGCGCATGTGTGGGCTTGAGTCACAAGGTCACAGTCAGCCTAGACAGAATTGTGCAACGGACTTGTTTTTGATTCCTTCTCAAGTCTGTAGTCAGTGTTTTTCTCTCTTCTTTTGCTCCATTTCCATTAGTCAGTTGTACATGCTGCTACTGTTTAAAGTTTTCTTTATTTGCATTTTTCAAATTAGAAAAGTCCTTCATTTGAGGTAAGAGTCAAAGATTTAAAAGAAAAAGTTAGTAATCATTACTCCCATCATCCTGCTGAGATAAGCTTTGAATCCTTCCATAGCTTCATTGGTACTCCCAAATGAAAACATATAAACGTGTGCGTGCATGCACGATTTCAGAAGAGGCTTTTACAGTTTTCTTTGTACCAGCAATGTTAGAAAGTACCTTTTACCTGATAGATTATTTTCTATTCTATTTTTTGCCAGTTTGATCAATATTAGTGATCTCATTGTTACATTAGTGTCTATTTCCATGATTATCATTATCTGAGTTTGAACATCTTTTTATAAGTTTATAGACTATTTGAATTTGCTTTTACCTGAGTTTGTCTGTTCATATCTTTTGCCCATTTGCTTTTTCTTGTTTGTGAGAGATCTTTGAATTGAGTATCTGTAACCATTTATCTGTAATTTGTGTGGCAGTTCTTTTTTCAAATGATCCCTTGACTATTACAGAATTTGTTTATAGTGTCTTTAACCATACGATGGGTAAAATTTATTAGTTTAATTGTTAAATGTGTGGCTTTTTTTTTTATTGCATTGGAGTTTCCTGTTTTGATTAAAAGGTCTATCTTATCCTAATAGTATACATAATATCTTAGATTTTCGTTTTAACATCTTTTTTCTTAGTTAAAATTTTTAATCCATCTGGAATGTGTTTTGGTATACAGTGTGACATAATGTTATGATTTTATTTTCTTCCATATGGTCAGTTGTGCCAGGTCCATTTATTAATTAAATAATCCATTCTCTTCTAAATGTACTACTTTTATCATGTATTAAATCTTACATATCATTAAATATACTTTTGAATTTTGGTCTATTTGTTTATTGTTAATGTCAACACAATACCTGTTTACTAATAGTAGTTTTATAATATGTGCTGATAACAAAGGTATTTACCTCTATATTCACTGTTCCCTTGCTATTCTCAGACCTTTTTTCTTTCTATGAACTTTCTTTTCTCCAATTCCCAATAAAATTTTGTTAGAATTGTAACTAGAATTGCATTTAATTTGTATACTAATTTTGTGAGAATTCACATTTTTATGTATTTGGTTTTTCTACATGAGAACAATGTCTTATATATTTATGTCCTTCAAAAAGTGTTAGTCTGAAGGACACTGTTAATAGTGTGAAAGGACAACCCACTGAATGGGAGAAAATATTTGCAAATAGTATATCTAGTAAGGGATTTATATCCAGAATATATAAGGAATTCCTGCAATTCAACAACAAAAAAATAAACAGCCCAATTAAAAAATGGGCAGAGGACTTGAATAGACATTTCTCCAGTTGGCCAAGAATGCATGAAAAGATCCTCAACATTATTAGTCATTAAAGAAATGCAAATCAAAACCCCAATGAAATACCACTTTGTACATTGTAGGATAGCTGTTATTTAAAAAAAAAAAAGGAAAATAACAAATATTGATGAAGATGTGGGTAAATTAGAACCCTCATGCATTGCTGGTGGGAATGTAAAATGGTGCAGCCACTGTGGAAAACAGTTCAGTGCTTTCTCAAAAAATTAAATACAGAATTGCTGTGACCCAGTAATTCTACTCTTAGGTTTCTACTCAAAAGAAGTGAAAACAGGGACTCAAACAGGTACTTGTACCCCGGTGTTCATAGCAGCATTATTCACAATACTCAAAAGGCAAAAACAACTCAAATATCCATCAACAAATGAGTGGATAAACAACATATAGTATATATGTACAGTGGAATTCAGCCATAAAAAGGAATGAAGTTCTGCTACATGCTACAACATGGAAGAGCCTTGGAAACATGCTAAGTGAAAACACTTTTTTTTTTTTAATTTTTTAATTTATTTATTTCTTTTTTCCCAAAGCCCCAGTAGATAGTTGTATGTCGTAGTTGCACATCCTTCTAGTTGCTGTACGTGGGACGCGGCCTCAGCATGGCTGGAGAAGCGGTGTATCGTGCGCTCCCGGGATCTGAACCTGGGCCGCCAGCAGCAGAGCGCGCGCACTTAACCGCTAAGCCACAGGGCCGGCCCGTGAATACACTTTTTAAGTGTATTCATTTAATGATATAAATTTTTCTCTCAATGCTGCTTTGGCTGCATCCCACAGGTTTTGATGTGTTGTGTTTTCTGTTAATTTTATTTATTTCTATGTATTTTTTAATATCCTTTGAGGCTTCCTTTTTGACTTGTTGGTTATTTAGGAGTGTGTTAATCCAAGTGTTTAGGGATTTTCCTGTTGTCTTTCCTGTATTGATTTCTAATCTTTATGGCATAGGATACAGTGTGTGATTTCAGTTCTTTTGCATTTGCTAAGATTTATTTCATGACCCAGAATATTGTCTATCTTTATGAATGTTTCATGGGCACTTGAAAAAATGTATTCTGTTGTTGGTGAGTGTAGTTGTCTATAAATGTCACTTATGGTATATTACTAATTTTTATACCTTGTTGGATGTGGTTTGCTGAAATTTTGTTGAGAAATTTTTGCATCTAAGTTAATGAGAGATATTGATCTGTAGTTTTCTTTTTTTATGTTATATTTGTATGGTTTTGGTTTCAAGGTAATGCTCACTTTATAAAAAACTGAGTTGGAAATTATTCCCTCTTCTAATTTCTGGAAAAGATTGTATAAATTGGTTTTAATTCTTTGAATGTTTGTTATAACAAACTTTAGTGATATCATCTGGTCTGGGAGATTTCTTTTTCAAGAGCTTTTAAATTACAAGTTCAATTCTTAGTAGTTACAAAGACTTTTTGGGTTATTTATTTCATCTTGGCAGAATTTTAATAGTTTGTGGTTTTTGAGGAATTGGTCCATTTTTTCTAAGTTGTTGAGTTTATGGGAATAAAGTTGTTCATAGTATTACCTTATTATCCTTTTAATGGCTGCAGGATCTATTGTGATATATACTGTTTTATTCTGGATATTGGTAATTCATGTCTTGTTTTTTTATCTTTGTCAATTTTGCTAGAGGTGTATCATTTTTATTCACTTTTTTCAGTGAACTAACTTCTTGTGTCAGTAATTTTCCTTATTGTTTTCCTGTTTTCAATTTTATTGATTTCTGCTCTTTTTTCCATTCTTCTTGATTTGGGTTTATTTTGCTCTTCTTTTTTTAGTTTTTGACATAGGAACTCTATTTTGCACTTTGGTTTATAATCCAATACTATTTTATTAGTTTCGTTACTCAGATTGTGCCAGCTTTGGCCGTTAGAAGCTCTGTCATTGGCTCCTATGCCCCTTTGACATACCCCATTTTTATTGTTGTTTTTGAGCACTTCCTTGCCTTCTGGAACTACAAGATGCTCCAGGTTCATCTTATATATTTCCTGCTCCTATCCTAGAGTTAGCCATTCCTCCAAGGAGCCAATGGTTCCTTTTACTGGAGAATGGTATTAGGAACCAAGATCTGGGTGCTAGATTTGCTGTTGCTCCTGGAATGTTGTTGCTTCAAGATCATCTCAAGTGACAGATCAGGGTAATATGTGTGTATACTAACTGCTGTATATGCACATATCTATACATATTTTTCTTTGTAACTGCCTGTATCTCTATTGAGCTAAACGTGACTTCATACTGATGTCTCCAACTCTAATTCATTACCATGTGGATTATTCTAGCATCCTTCCCATACTTATGTGTAAATTCCCACTCCATGAGTTAGAAACTTGGCACCCACCATCCATCATCCATTCACTTAGCATGTTAAGTCCTATATACGTGTATAGCAATATTAGAATTGTTGACTCATGCCCTCTGGAAAACAATGTATCAACTAGAGTACAGTGCTTATCTCTAATTTCTTTAGCTTTTAATTTTACAGACTCTACCTATTTTTAATCTTACTTAGGTCAGCATCTTTTTTCCCTACCCCCCTAGAATGTGGCATATGTAGTAATACTGCGTGATTTCCAAGGTTAGGTCATAAAAGGCTATATGGCTTCTGCTTGGCTCCTTCCCTCCCTCCTTTTTTCCCTCTTAGGATACTCCCCCTTGAAACCCAGACACTATGCTGTGAGGAAGCTCAAACTAGCCCACTTGCAGAGATACGTAGACAGAAATGTCCCTAGCCTCAGATGTCAGACATGTGAATAAGCAGTCTTTCAGATGATTCCAGACCCCAGGACAGAGACGAACCATCCCTGTTGTGCCCTGCCAAATTCCTGCAACATGGAATCAACGAATGTAATAAATGATTGTTTTATACAACCAAGTTATGGAGTTATTTATTATGAAGACATAGTAACTAGAACAACTATCTAATTCCCAGATGACATTCTATTGTCATATATCTTATTCCTGTTATCATGTATTTTAATTCTGTTGTTTTTTTGTTTTAAACAGTCAATGTTTGTTTATATTTACACACACATTACGTTGTTTGCTCTTTGTTTTTTAAAAATAATTTTAAAAAATTATGGTAAAAAGTGTAACATAAAATTTATCATTTTAACCATTTTTAAGTGTATAGTTCATTAGCATTAAGTATATTTGCATTGTTGTGCAACCATCACCACCATCCATCCACAGAACTTTTTCATCTTGCAAAACTGAACCTTTATACCCATTAAACAATCCTCCTCTTCCCACCACCTCTGGGAGCCACCATTCCAGTTTCTGTCTCTGAATTTGACTACTCTAAATCCCTTGTATGGGTGGAATCATGCAATCTTTGTCCTTTTGCAACTAGTTTATTTCACTTAGCATAACGTCTTCAGAGTTCATCCATGTTGTAGCATGTGTCAGAATTTCCTTCCTTTTTAAATCTAAATAATAATCCATTGTATGTATATTCCACACTTTGTTTTATCCATTTATCCATTGATGAATTTTTATTTGGGTTGTTTCCACCTTTTGTCTTTTGTGAATAATGCTTCTATGAACACAGTTGTACAAATATCTCTTGCAGTCCTGGTTTCAATTCTCTTAGATATATACCCAAAAAAGGAATCATTGGATCATATGCTAGTTGTATTTTTAATTTTTTGAGGAACCACCAAATTGTTTTTTGTAGCAGTTGCATCATTTTACCTTCCCACCAGCAGTGCACAAGGGTTCCAGTTTCTCTACATCTTCACCAACACTTGTTACTTTCTGTTTTGTTTTGTTTTGTTTTTTGATAATAGCCGTCCTAATGTGTGTGAAGTAGTGTCTTGTGGTTTTGATTTGTTCATTGTTGTTGTTGGGAATTTTGAATTAAAACAACAATTAGATACCACTACACATCTGTAAGAATGGCTAAAATCCAAAAAATTGGTTCTCTTTTGTAACTCCTATTTCTTTGAGTTTCTGTCTTTTCATTTGTTTTAAGAGAATTTAAAATTGATTGTTAAAACACTTTTATGATGGCTGCTTTAAAACTCTTGTTAAATGATTCCAACATCTGATTCATCTTGTTCATATGTGTCTGTTGATCATATTTTCTTGTTCAGGTTGTGTTTTTTCTGGTTTTTGGTATGATGGGTCATTTTGATTATATCCTTGACATTTTGGTTATTACGTTAGGAGACACTTGATTGTATTTAAATCTTTTCTTAGAGCAAAAAGTTAGCCTATTTTGGTTTAATGTATAGATTCTTGCCTACTTTGTGGATTTTATTTTTAAGGACAGTTGTGTTCAGAGTCCTAACAGTGGTATTTTGATCTGCTTCATTTTCTGATGCTACTGGGATTCCACCTGAGTTCTTGCTAGTGCTGTGTGTGTAGATGGACAGTGTTTTTCTGAGCATCCTGATGTCCTTATTCACCCCTACTGAGGTTGAGGTTAGAAGCTGCTGGGACTGGATCTCCTTATATGACTGAATGGGGACAGGATAGGGGATGCAGAGCTCTCTTATGCTCTTCTTGCCTCAGATTAGACTGTCCATTGGTGCTTTCGTTGGGAAGCCGGAGCTGGGATGGCCTGGAGTGTCAGTACTACCAGTGGATCAAAATGTCACCTTGGTCTGTGAAACAGGGGCTGGGAAGGTCAGAGGCTTCGCAACTCTGCAGTTGCCTGTGGATCATACGGCTGCCATCTCTGATTGTTGAAGCAGGGACGGGGTTGGTCCGGGGATGGGGTTGGTCCAGGGCTTTTTGCTCCTCTGCTGCTCCTGTCCCGTAGTACTTATGGAGTGGGGCCTGGCATGGCCTAAGGCTTTGCTGCTCTGCCACAGCCAGTGGAATGGAGTGCCCTGTAGCCCAGGTTGTGGAGTAGGAGTTGAGATTCCCCACTAGGTCTATGTTGTGTTTCCTTTTTCCAAGTCTTTTGGCCAGAGAATGCGGGCTTTTTTCCTCCCCCACGCCTTTCGGCGGTTCCAGAGTGCAGGCCTCTTTAGAGCCTAGTCTGGGGTATATGGGAGATAAAAAGAAAACCCAGGGGATTCACCAAAATGTCTGTTATTGCTTAAGGCTTGAGGTTCCTAGCAAATCCACCTTCTTCCTTCCAGCTTTCAGTCTTTTATTGTTGTGTGATGGGTAATTTACAGGGAATTTAGTTGTATTTAGAGGGAAAAGCGGGAAAAAGTGTATCTGTGCCATCTTGGTCCAGAAACAAAAGCCCTTTTTTGGTTGTATTTTAAATTTTTAATCTTTTTTTTAAGATTTTATTTATTTATTTTTTCCCCCAAAGCCCCAGTAGATTATTGTATGTCATAGCTGCACATCCTTCCAGTTGCTGTATGTGGGACGCAGCCCCAGCATGGCCAGAGAAGCGGTGTGCACCCGGGATCCGAACCCGGGCTGCCAGCAGCAGAGCGCGTGCACTTAACCGCTAAGCCACAGGGCCGACCCTAAATTTTTAATCTTTACTTTTTAAGAATATATTAGTATGAATACCACCCAGCCATTCTACTTTTTCTTTGATATTTGCAGGTTGAGGGTTAAGAGAATATATATATTCTCTTTATATATATACATACATATATATATATATGTATATGGACCAAATACATGATGCAGTTCATTAATTTCATAAATTAGAACTTTTAAAGTTTTTAATTTTAATCCTAGATCTTTGATTATAAACTTAATGACCTGTCAGTCTTCTGAAAACTATTTCTAATTCAATTATTGCTGAATTTTAAGAAGCACATTTGGTTCTAATATTATTACGTAAAACTTTTAATATCTTCATAAATTTTCTTCTAGTTCAGGGCCATGAAGTTCATCAGGAAATTTTGGCAACTGATGTTGATTCTCAAAATACACCTGACTCGAGAAAAATGTCAAGTAAAAAACTAAAAAGTCATCACAATGAAGTCAACCAGGAATTTTACATATCTGTTGGTTCACCTTCTGTTACTTTGGATGCAAAAAGATCTGTATCGCAAAATGCTCTTCCGTCTGTTGTCCAAAAGAGAGAGACCTACAGTTTTAAAAATTCAGTAAATATACTATCTTCAAGTACAGAGATTTCTCATAAAACCAAAAAAAGGTGAATTTTTACTTATTTAAATAAAACTAATCTTATAAAAATTTTACTTTTTGTATTAAAAAGTTAGTAGTTTAGTCTTTTATGTATTTTATGGTAAGTATTGAGGAATATTAACATATTATGGGAAGAACATAACATTAATTCAGTATATTTTCAGTTTATATTTAATAAGGAAGGCCTTAAAGTGTATTTCAGTCAAGTTTGGGGGTAAAGCTTTTCTATAGTCTATGGAAAAATGTATTTTTTTCCTGATAATAAGTTTTGTATAACTTCGTAAGAGAAACAATTGGTATTTTCTCTAGGTTATTTGTAATTACAAGAGTAGGTATGTTATCAGGTCAGTTCTAGGGTAGCAAAGGGTAAGTATTATTGAGGATGAGTTGTGATAAAGCCATGTCCCTCTTGGGGCTTTCCTTTTAGCCTTCAGGAAGCAAAGAAGACCAATCAAGGTCCTTTGTTGTTGGGCACCTTTGCAATGAATGTAATTTCTGTTTAGCATCTTATGTGATTCTTGAAGCCAAGGAATTAAGTACATTTTAAGATTTTGCTATTCAAAGTGTGGTCTGTGGCTTAGGATCAAGAGCAATGGCAGTATCTGAACGTTTTTTAGAAGTACAGAATCTCAAACCCTACCCTAGACCTACTGAATCGGAATCTACATTTTAATAAGAGTCTCCAGATGATTCTGATTCATGTTAAATGTTTAATAATTACTGCTCTAAGCTACACATTTCTTCGGTGTATGATTTAACCATTCTTTTCTTTTTTTTTCTTGACAAATGTAAAATTTAATTTTTCTGAGCAATTTGCCTTGTATATTTTGTGTAAGAGGTTACAAATCAGCATTTATAAATTTTAAATAAAGGCCCAGTGGAAAATTTAAGTGGTCTGTATTGTTACTGTAAGGGAGTTTAGGAAAACTCATAACTCAGCAAACCGTGGGAACATTCATCAGTCTGCCTTCCTTTTAACCTTTTAGGTTAAACTTTGAAGATGTTTTGAAGAAAGTAGAAATAGAGAGTAAAGTATCAGAAATAGAGGATAAAGTATCAGAAGGACCACAAGAGAAGAAACCGTCAGGAACATCTCAGAAAAGAATACAAGATTCAGAATATGAAATTCAACCACAAGCTAAAAAGAGTTTTTCAACATTATTTTTAGAAACTGTAAAAAGAAAAGGTGAATCCAGGTGAGTGATTAAGAAACTGTCCTCTGGGGCTGGCCTGGTGGCGTAGTGGGTAAGTTTGGTGTGCTCCACATCGATGGCCCTGGATTGCGGGTTTGGATCTTGAGGGTGGACCTACACCACTCGTCAAGCCATGCTGTGGTGGCAAGCCACATACAGAAAAATAGAGGAAGATTGGCACAGGTGTTAGCTCAGGGCCAATACTCCTCACCAAAAAAAAGAAAATAGAAACCGTCCTTTGAGACATTTTTTCTTTCACATTCTATGAACAAGACCTAAGAATTCTTAATGCTGTTTAACTTAGAAGTTAATCTTAATTGACACAAATTTTAATTGAAATTATGCCTAACTATAAGGAGAGTGTAGTTTCTTACCAGTAAATCACTCTCAAAGCCATCATTTAATGGATATTAAATTAGACGTGAAAGAAAATTTGTTTATTCAGCTCATCACTTTCTAATTTGTATGATATCAAAGAATGAAGGCATTCATTCTATATTCTATATTCTATATTTAGAAATATAGTTATGTCAAGATGCCTATATATTTCACTATTAAGGGTTTTAAATCTTTGTCCTATTTCTTCTGATTGTGTCAATAAAAGGATAGTCCTAAAAGTTTGAATCTGTTTTTGCCTACTTACAAAAACCTTCAGTGGTTCTGCAATGTCCATACAGTCATTCTTAACCATGGCTGCACATTAGAATTAATTAGGATTAATGGCAGCTAGAGTTGAGAACCACTGGTCTATAGAATAAACTTCAGATTTGTCAGTTGGTATTTAAGGCCTTCCCTCTGCTTAGTTAGCTGTTTCTGCCAACTTGTTTATACACATTTGCAGTTGTCCCTGGTTTAGCACACCTTTTTTCTCTGTCATATGCCAATCTCCATTTTCTTTTAAGGTCCATGCTAGGCTTCTAGTTTTTTCCAAGTTCCACTCTACTGTTTCTTAAATAATTTCTTGCCTTGTATTATAGTTTAGCTATTTTGTGTATGTCTTTCTTAGTAGATTAAGACTAAATCCTCCTTTCCAGGAGGTTAGAGTTTCTTTTGTATTTTCTGTGATGTCTATCAGCATACATGGTGAATGTATTAGGAAGGTTTTATAAAAACATTGAATGAATGAAATTCCTCTTTTGTTTGGTCTCTATTCCCATAGCTGATTTCTCAATTTATATATATTTATATATATATATGGCTTCTTTTACCTCATGTATGGATGTTGTCCCCACCATCTGATGCAAATATGTTACACTTATGGGCTAATTATATCTATGTCCAAAAAAGTAATAAAGAATTTTGTTTAATGTTCTTTTTGATACACTAGTGAGTAAAGTTAATTTTATGTTTAATTGCTGCAGCCACATGGAACTACTTGCTATTCCTGGTGCTTCCTTGCTTCCTTGCTTTTGCTTATGCTCTTCCTTCTGGATTGTCTTTCTTGCATTTCCTCATGACCAAATCTTATCCATCCTTCAAGATCCAGCTCAAATGCCACAAAGTCTTTCTTGATTTTTCCACCTAGCCAGAAGTCATCTTTCTCTATTCTAAACTTTAATAGTGTTGTCTTAGTCCCATATGGGCTGCCATAACAGACTACCATAGACTGGGTGGCTTATAAACAATAGAAATTTATTTCCCACAGTTCTACAGGCTGTGAAGTCCGAGATCAAGCCTTGAGCACATTCATTGTCTGTTGAGGTCTACTTCCTGGTTCATAGATGGCTATCTTCTTGCTATAACCTCACATGCTAGAAGGTGGTGAGGGGGCTCTCTGGTGCCTCTTTCGTAAGGGTACTAATTTCATTCGTGAACACTCTCCCCTCATGAGCTAATCACCTCCTAAAGGCCACACCCTCAAATACTATCACACTGGGGATTAGCTTTCAAATTTATGAATTTGGGAGGAACACAAACATTCCGTCTATAGCAAGTATGAAGGTTGTTTCCTAAGGATATCTTTGGTTTGAATAGTCTTGAAGTTATGGAAGTCCCTTGAAGTAGAATAGAGGAGCAGATTTGGAGAGTTCTTGGCTGGTTTGGGAAGGCTTCATTTTTAAGTTCTTAGCATTACTTCTTCATATACTAATAGAGAACTAATAGATATTACAAATAATATACAACAAGGCAAGTTAAACCTATTTATAACAGATTGGTTATTTCTTTAAATGTTGAAAAATAATATTTCTGCTCAATCATTCATTTATTGTGGTCTTCTGTTTATACTGGGTTTGTTTTTTATTAGATTTTCTAGAGTTTTCTAATTATATAAACTTGTAAAACTCTGCCTATTTAAGACAGTATATTTCTTAGCAATTTATATACTATTTTACATTGTAAGATTTATTAGGGGTTTGAAATGAGAAGAGTAGAGAAGGCATTTTCATAATCTTTTTGTATATCTTAATAAAAAGAAAAAAAAGCCAGACTCATAATCCAATTCTTCCATTCTAGCTTTGCTTCTACTATGTCTAAAAATAGTTAAGCATCCTTATCCAACCGAAAAAGGCAGAAAAAGGAGTGCATATGGCTAGCTCTGGAGTTTAGATGTTTACCCTAAGTGTTTACTTTTGCATATCTCATTTCAGTATGTGGTTTGCTCAAGGCTGTTGACATAAAAAGGAAGGAGATGCAAAATGAGTTCATCAGATTACTGTCCTTTGAATAATTCCTTCCTTCTCTAGAAAGCTTTCCCAACTACTTGGAAGAGGGGCTGTTTAATCCCCATGCTCTTACCTGTCTAGATACACTCCATTTATTTCTATACCGTGATTACAATATTAAAACATAGGAAAATGTGTGTGAATTATTCAAACTTGGAATGAATTTTGACATAATGTAATTCAGTGTATAATTTAGTAGTGTTTTCTTAGAATATTAGACTTGAAGGTGTCTCAGAAATAAACTTTTCCACCCTTGTTTTGGATGTGAAGAAATTCAGGCCCCATGAAACATCTATACAAACATATAATTTAATATAACATTATATATAATAATGGCATGCATTTTTGGAGTGTCAGTCAGTGTATCTGGGCTATATTTACACATCTCTGGGTTTCAGCATTTTAATATATATAATGGTTGGGGGGGCATCAAATTAGTTGATGTCTATGCTTGCTTCCAGCTCTAAATTTCTATGATCCTCTTAGTGTTATAAATGAGTGTGATCAGCTATTTTAAAAATGTAAAAGGAGGGCAGATTTTTAAGGGTAAGGGAAAATTGAGACTTGAACTACTTTTTAAAAGTTATATAGATTTTATTTTCTGTATAAATTATTTTCTTCACTAAGCAAAGGTAAAAGCTTTATTTTTTTGAGCTATTATTTATTGTAACATCTTGTTTTAGTCCTATTGTTAGGCATATAGCAACTACTCCACCTCATTCATCTCCTGCAAATGATATGAAGTTGTTAGAGGATGAATTTATAATTGATGAATCAGATAGAAGTTTTGCCAGTCGATCTTGGATTACCATACCAAGAAAGGCTGGGCCTCTGAAACAATGCACAGTATCGCTTGCTGAGAGCACTGCACTCCTTCAAAGTAAGAAGTCAACAGAAAAACATCACAATTTATCACCTATGACTTTGAGAAGTGACAGACATTCTGGTAAAGCTCACCAAGGAGAGAAATCTCAGCCCTCGGAACAAAGAATACTGTGCAGGAGCTGTGCTTTGAAAGATGAAATGGAAAATGATGGTAGATGTACAAAACATGAAATGTATTCTGAGAATGCAGAAAAATCATCTGGAAACAAAAGGACCAGAAAAGAAAATCAGAGAAGAAAATTTAAGGCCAATGTAGTTGAAGAACAGGTTGATATGGAACATTCCAAAGATAAAAATGTAAATATGCCACATGTTGCCCAAGACAAGTTACAAAGAAATTCAGACAGAAATATGGAAGAGTACGAAGAGATGAGAAATGTTCGTATTTCCAAAAAACAGATTCCACCTGTGGGTAAGTGTTTGTATTAAATATAACTATGAACGTTATTCCACCACTTTATGTTTATGATATCCCTACTTAGCTTTGGGAAGTAGGCAAAGCAAACGTAAATCTACAAAGCCTCAAAAGCCTACAGGCTTTTTTGAAGAATCTCTTTATTTTACATATAACTCAATTCCAACTCGCTTGATTTTTCTGTAGCTTCTTGTAGTCTGTAACAGAGACTTTATATCACCTGAAATAATAGTTGTCAGATTTCAATTCTGTCTATGTGTGCCTTTGTATATTTGAAAAATACTGCTTAAAATAAAAGGAAAAAAGCCACCTTTTCCATTTTGTGGACCTCTTTTGTAAATGTCAGACATGTCCTATATTCTTTTCATTGGAATTGTTCTTTATTTTTTTGCTTCCTTGGTCATTTTAAGAAAGCACAACACAAAGAATCTGACTAAACTGAGGGTGATAGTTAAATTACAAGAAAGTTTGTTTCGTACTAGTCCCTTAAGTAAAATATGAATTCACAAAATTTGAAGGTACAGAATTTATCCATAGTTTGTTAGGAAAAAATATTATATCAAGAAAGTGTACTTGAAGGATACTCTCTTTAATTATAAATGTTAAACATTTGTTGAGTATTTGGACACTAATTTTCACAGATATTAAATTCTTCATCTAGATTGGTTAGTGAATATAGCATTCTGATTAATTTTCATACAAATTTTGTTAATTTTCTATTCCTGTCATAACAAATTACTACATACTTAGTGGCTTAAAACAACATACATTTATTATGTTACACTTCTGTGGGTCACAAGTCTAAAACGAATCTCCCTCGGCTAAAATCAAGGTGTTGGCAAAGTTGCATTCCGTTTTCGTGGTTCTAGGAGAGAATCTGTTTCCTTGCCTTTTCCAGCCTCTTGAAGTCACCTATTTTCCTTGAATCATGGCTCCCCTCTTGCATCTTCAAAACCAAAAATGCCAGCCTTTTCACATTTTGAGTTTCTCTTGCCTCTTCGTTCATTGTCTCATCTCTCTCTAACCACAGCTTTTTTTAAGGACACCTGTAGTTAGATTGGGCCAGCCTGGATCATCCAGGATAATATCCCATCTCAAAGTTTATAACCTTAATCACATCTGCAAAATTTCTTGCTGTGCATGTAAGTTAATGTTTTCACAGATGTTGTGATTAGGGTGAGTACATCTTTGGGAGGCCATTATTCTGCCAGCCATATCAGTTTCAAAGATTAATAATATGAAGACAGTTTAATTCCAAAGATATTTTTACTCTGAAGATAATTTTCCTTTAATTCAAAAGGCACTTGACAAATTCGTAATGTCTAAACTGATGACTTGTGTTGAGCCAATTGACTTTTCTACTTTTGATGTCTCACAGGCTTCTCAAACTGAACATATTGAAAACTAATCCTCTTTTAGTTTTCAGTATCTTCATAAATGGAGCCATAATAAACCTAGTAGCTCAAGAAAGAAACCCAAGTCATCTTTAACTCCTCTTTCCTTTATCTAGCAACCCATATGAAATCAGTAAGTCTTTTGACTTCTTTCTAAGTAGCTTTCAAATCTGTTACTTCTGTCCATTCCTCCTGCTACTCCTCTTAGCCAAGCTAGGGTCATTTATTTCTTAGATTATTGTAGCAGTTTATGCACATACCCTCTGGCTTCTCTCTACCTCTCCAGATTCATCTCCCTGGGTTGCCTTATAATGAATTTCTTCCAGTTCTAAGAGACCACTTTCTCACCTGTGGGTCTTTTAATATGCTGTTCCTTTTGCTTAGAAAATTTTTCCTAAGTGTACCCTGGGTCCACTACCAAGCTTTGTACTCAGTTTAAATATCACTTTCCTTGAATATTATCCCCCACCCCGATATGTTCCTACATATGCTCCAATAGTACCCTTTCCATTTTATCAAACTTATAATTACTTGGAGAATTTCTGTCTTTCACTCTAGAATCTAGACTGAAAGCTCCACAAGAACAGGGACTATATCTGTTCTATTCCTAAAATAGTCCCCAGATCTTAGCCTTAGCACTTATCATCTCTCTGGGTCATTGGAATACATTATTACCAGTGACAGAAGTATTACTCTGTTTTGGATGAGTAATTTTGCTGTGTTCATTAAAATATATCGCACTTTCAGAATCCTACTCTTTTGCATGTAAATATGCAAAATTTTCTACAGTTGTAGAAATTTATCACTTAAAAGTCACCTCTTTTTCTAGCTGTTGCCCTACTTATGACATATTTCCCCTCAGTTCTAAGTCAACTCTCTTCACATTACCAACTGTTCATATATCAATTGTATCTTCTGTATTGTGTTCTTGTTTATTAGTTTGCTAAGTTCTTTGTCATTCAGTTTCTAACCTTTCCTGATCTGGAACTGATTTCTGAGATGATTTTATTAATTGGTTTGTTTTTGACTTGGTATGATATTGTTTCTCCGTATCATCGTCCAAATAAGTCTTTGGTGATGGCATTTTTCCCTTCAGAATCTTTTCCCTTAAATCATTGTTCATGTTGATTTTTTAGAAGTTGATTTATGATTATGGACAGTAATCTCTGTCATCATGAACACCTTTCATTTGTTGGAGCAGTTCCTGAGGATATTTTTGACAAACATAAGGGAAGAGAAAAAAGAGGAGAAATGGAGGAAATGGAGTTGGAGAAGAGAGACGAGGGTGGAGATATGGGGGCAGGAAAATGATGCTCATTGGTGAGGATTCTTGCAGTTGTACAGATGATTCCTTAAACTACTAATCAGTGGCAAGGCAACCACGTTGAAAGTTCTCTATACTTGCTTTAGTGTTTTGTAAATTGACTCTTTATTATTTTCTATATCTACTCCCTAAAAGATCTTTTCTGTCTCGTTTTACTTTGTCAGTTGTGGCTCTTCTAATATCTCCCATTCTCATCACTTCGAATATTGGTTGTTACTCTTATTAAGCACAATATTGGTAAAGTACATTCTTTCCTTTTTCATCAAATTTTTGGGCCTGGTTCAGTATCATTAAAGCTAATATTTTTCTTATACTTCTTTTATAAGCATGAATCAGTTTTCTTTATCTTTTTTTTTTTTTAAAGATTTATTTATTTATTTTCCCCCCAAAGCCCCAATAGATAGTTGTATGTCATAGTTGCACAGCCTTCTAGTTGCCGTATGTGGGATGCAGCCTCAGCGTGGCCGGAGAAGCGGTGCCCCGGTGTGCGCCCGGGATCCGAACCCGGGCCGCCAGCATCAGAGAGCACGCACTTAACCGCTAAGCCACAGGGCCGGCCCAGTTTTCTTTATCTTAAATTCAAAGTATTGCCGAATCCTGCAACGTATTCTCAGAATAGAATTAGAGAGTGATATACTGCTGTAAGGGGTTTTGACATAATTTAGCTCATTTCCTCCTCTATCCTTCTGTTCCCCCAATCAAATTTAACTGAGAGAATGACCAAATCACCTGGAACAGTGCTTTTCAAACTTGCATGTGCGTTTGAATTCCCTGAGGATCTTGTTAAAATACTGATTAATAAACTGATTTAGGTAGGTCTGGGGTGGGGCCCAAGATGTGTATTTCTAAACAGTCTCCCTCAGGTGATGCTGATATAGCTGGTCTGTGAGTCATACTTTGAGTATCAAAAATCTAGATAGTACCTAAAATAGCTCATGTTGGGTAGCACTTTTGCCAATTTCATTGCCTAGTGCAATACTGACTTCAACCTGAATTCATTATTTCAATGTGTATTTATTGAGAGCCTATGTGCCAAACACAATGTTATATTATATAGATAGTAAAGATGACTAAGATGCAGTTTTCATTCCAGCCTAACTAAGCACTAGTTAATTTCTCATACTGTAACATTCTGGTTCTCCTCCCTATTTCTTTGATTTCTTTCTATATCTTCTTTATTGATTACTTTTCCTCATTTCACCTATAAATTTTGGTGACTCTCTCCATATTCTCCAAGTTTAATAGTTTGCCCTTTGCTCTTCCTTTATATTCACACCTTGAGAAAATTATTCCTTTGCATTAGATATCATCTCTGAGTTATTTCCCCAAATTTACCTTTTTAGTGAAAGCTCTAGTTTTGTATTTTCCCTATTTCCAGCTTTCAGCCCCTATTATATTCTTTCTTCTTTTCTTTTTATTCTGTAGAGTTTAATGCTTAATTACGTGATTATATATAATGCCTGCTCTGTTAGTCTTAGATACCTTTATGCAATTTATTTACTCTATGAATGTTTCCTACTTGGATTTTAATCTCTTCTTTGGACTCCATAGAAATCTTACCTCAAGTGCTTAATAAATGCTGGTTTCTTGATGTATTTAATGGTCAAGAAAATTTTCCATTTTTTGTCTGATAGCATCTAATGTTTTAAATCTGTTTCTTAAAAAAAGAAATTCTCCATTATCAAACCCATTTTGGTGGTTGTGCCCTTCTCAGCTGCAATATTTGTATTAAAATAGCCTTTATTTCCCTGATTTCCTCCTCTTCCTAGTTGTCAGTCACAAAAACAAAATTAGAATTTATCTGTCCTTTCTCTTAGATTCTTTTCTTACCCATTTATTTGCCTTTGTAGTAAAATGAAATTACTACTGATGCCAGACCTTTTCATTAACTATTTATTGCTTGCCATATCCATTGTTTCTTTTCATTCTGTTTTCTCTTTTTAAATTCTATTCACAGAAACAACCTTTTTCCTTCATATAGAAAAGATCTCTTTATAGAAAACTCACCTTAAATCTCCTCTTCCAAAAATAAGATTGACAAAAATCATGAATTATTTCAAAACAGAAAAGCAGCAGTAGTTACCTTTTTTTATTTGGGACATTGGTAAGTAGGTGGGAGGAGCGATATATTTCATTTTTCCTTTTCAGTGTATACCTGTTTTTTTGGCTTAGGAGTCTATGTTAGTTATCAAGTAATGTGAAAAGTTTGCATTTAACTGACAGAAAGTTAGAGATCTTATTGAGAACATGTGACTTAAAAAATAGAGATAAAAAGAAGCCCACAGGATAAATTTAAGAAGTTCCTATAGTTGAAAGTTTTTTTTTTGTTTTTAATCTGTTGTGGTTTTCTGAAAACTCTGGTTCTGTAGATTGTGAGTTGTTTTTATGGTTTTCCTTATTTTAGGAAGCAAGAAAAGTAGCACCAGTGTTCCTCATTCAGAGAATCAGAAAAAAGATAAGAAAGGTAAAAAGAAACATTTTTCAAATGAGTCGAAGAAAAACAAACTTGTACCTGAAGAAGTGACTTCAACTGTCACGAGAAGTCGAAGAATTTCCAGGCGTCCATCTAATTGGTGGGTGGTGCAATCAGAGCAGAGTAAGTATTTTTATTTAAATTAAGTTCATCGGGAGCTCCCCAAAAATCATTCTTTAAGAGGCTTTATGTTTAATTTATACTGCTATTCTCTGGAGAAACTCTCATGAGGACAAAGTTAAATTGGGTCATCAATAGAAATATTAAATTAGTTAATTATGAAGATACTCAATGAGGCTCTACCATATACAGTATTCTGGATACAAGCATACATACAGCTGTGGAAAAACCAAAAGCAAGAAACCCCTGCTCTCGTGGCACTTATATTCTACTGGGGGAAGACCAACAATATAGATATAATTCATGCAGTGATAGGTAATGAAAAATAAAGCAGATAAAGGATAGAGATGAGAAGTAGGTGGCAGGGGTGGGGGTGCATAGGAGGATAGAACAGAATACTGTTTTTATAAAAGATAGCAATGAGAGTCCATTATGGTCTTTCACAGTACATATATGACTAAAGTGAAGAAGGGAACCATACAGATAATTTGGTATGGAGCATTCCAGACCAAGGGAATAGTATTTGTAAAGGTGCTAATGGGGCATGCTTGGCATGTTTGAGGGACGCCAAGGTGGCCTATATGGCTGAAGAAGAGTAAGCCAGGGGAGGTGAAGTCAGAGAGACAAGCTGTGATAAAGAGTTTAGATGAAGTATATAGGAAGCCTGATTTCCTGATTTCCTCATTTCCTGGAAAATTTTAAGCAATAAAGTGATCTGATTGACTCATCTTTTAAAAGGATTATTCTTACTGCTATGTGGGGAGGAAATTAGGGCTGGGCAAAAGTGGAAGCCTGAAGACTAGTTAGGAGATTATTGGAGGGAAGAGATGAGAAGTGATTGGATTCAAGATGTTTTTTGAAGGTAACTCACAGGAAGTACTGATGGATTGGAGTGAGAGAGAAGCAGGAGTCTAGGATGACTCAGTATTTTTTGCCAGAACAAGAATGGAGCTACCGTTTACTCAGATGAGGAAAGATATTAGAGAAGCAGATTTGGGAAGGATATCAAGATTTCAGGTTGTAGTGTGTTAATTAGATATCAGAGTGGGTATATTGAGGGGATCGCCTGATAAATGAGTCTAAAGTTAGGGGTAAAGATCTGGGAGAACATATAATTAGGGAGTTATCAATATATAGATGATATTTAAAACTTTGAGACTGCTTGAGATTACCTAGTAATAGACTGTACCTGGAAAAGAAAGAAAGCCAAGGTTTGAGTCCTGGGAGACTCCGGTGTTAGGAGTCAGGAAGGGGAAGGAAGATCCATCAAAAGAGACGGAAAGGAGCAGTTAGTGAAATTAAAGGAAAATGAGGAGAACTTAGGGTTATGGAAGTAAAGTAATGAAAGCATTTTAAGGATAAAATTATGAACTGTTTTAAATACTGCTGGTGGCCTGAATTAGGTGGGAGCTAAGAATTGACAGTATGGTTGTGGAAACATGGAGATTGTTGGTCATCTTGATAAAAGTGGTTTCTGTGGAATGATGAGATCAAAAGCCTGATTGGAGTGGGTTCAAGAGGGAGTAGGAAATGAGGAAGGAGAGACAATAAGATAAGAGGGCATAGCAGATGTAGGGTCAAGAGAAGGTCTTTTTTTTAATGTACAAGATATTACATCAGCTTATCTGCTCATTAAAATGACCTTTTAGAAAGGCAGAGGATAAATAAAAGATCACTGTCTTGAGTAAGCAAGGAGTGGGTGTGATCTAGCACACAGTTATAAGGGTTAGCCTTAGACAGGAGCAAGGACCGTATATCATGTAAAAGAGGAAAGGCAGAGTATATGGGGACAGATGGAAATAGGTTGGTAGCGTTGATGGTGGGAAGATGAAGATGTACTCGTCTGACCAGTTTTGTTTTCTCACTGAAATAGTAAGCAGGTTCATCAGTAAAAGTGAAGTGAGAGAGGCGATAATGTAGTTTGAAGTTTCCTTACAGCGAAAGGATACAGAGCAAAATCAGCAGAGAAAAAGTACATGGGCAAAGTCCGAAGGAAATTGGGCGCAAGCTTCCAGCAGTCCTCTCCCAGTGGATTTGTACAGGAGACACTTAATTCCTCCAGCAGTGACTTGTGATAAGTGTGTGAAATGTCATCTACCAGGGAAACTCATTAGAGAGTTAGTGCTCAAGATTTTTATTGGGGGTGGTCACCTAGGCACCCTCTGCCTGGGAACTAAAGTTCCATACCCCCTGAAGGAAAGCAAATATTTGGCATAAACCATATTTTTTGCACAAGCAGTTTAGGCACACTAAACCACATTTATTATTTAGGAAATGATGGGAACCCTTCTGAAATTCGGGTTCCCACATGCTAGCCAAGGGCTAACTTTGCAAGCAGGCCTTTCTAGGGATAGTATTCTTAGGCCTGCTTTGCCAACTCTTTCTGTACAATATGAAACATTTATTATTTTGGAAAAATTTTCGGTATTTTAAAGGCAATGATCATGAAAAGATTGGTAGACGATAAGGTAACATTTACAAATGCAGGTACTGTTGGCTGTGGGGCATTTAGATCAACAAATGAGAGACTAGTACAAGTATGGCACTACATCTTTGAGGCCTTGTTGCTGTGAATTATTGAATCACTGGGATCTTTGAGTGATAGCAGCAAGAAATATTTATTCTGCCGCAGGCCTCCTTGGATTTTGAAGTTAGGTCTGAGTTTAAATTATGATTCCTCCAGTTTGGTTAGATTACTTTGTTCAGTTTCTCACTTTGTAACGTATTGTAAAGTTATCAATACTTCTACCTCATTAAGTTGTTATAAGGATTAAGTATTAAAATGTTAACTACTGCTGTTAAAAGGTTAACTACTACAGTAACAGTAGTTGGGAGGACTCACCTTTCTGCTCCAGGTTGCCTGAAACTATGGTAGATGGGTGTATAAATATGTGGGTAAATAAAAATCTTATCGAGCTTGGATAAGCATACTAGAACTTTGAAACTTACCAAAAAAGAGTTATGTAGCAGTTGGAAACAGATTTTGGGTTTCTGGTCAAGTAGGGAGTCACAAAAGTAGAGGAATGCTTAAAGCTCATATAGTTCAAACTTCTTCAGCTGGTGGAAGAAGAAACTAAGTCTGAAGCCCAGAGAAGCAACAGGACTTGCCCCTAAGGTCATGGAAAACAATAGAACCCAGATTTCCTGACTCTTGGTCTATTGTTTATTTCACTAATCAAGAAACCAAGCTACCTGTAGTGCTCATGTAGCCCTGCTGCTTTTTCATGTATATCAAGAAACATTTATTGAGTCCCCTCTGTGAGGCAGGAATGGTGTTAGGCAAGGCCAGGACTAGAGTGAGGCAAGTGAGGAATCTAGAATGGAAAATTGAAGGAGGCACTTCGTCTCAGGGTTCTGTGAGTTCAGGTTCAGTACTTGCATGATTCTGAGAGTAAGTACCTTCTTAAATTTTCCATCCTACTTAACAATTTTTTTTCCCTTATGATGAGAACTTTTAAGATCTACTCTCTGGTAATCATTTCTCAATATATACATATATCACAATTATTATGTTGTGCACCTTGAACTTACACAATGTTATATGTCAATTATATGTCAATGAAACTGGAAAAAAAATTTTTTTTCCACCCTAGTCTATTCGTGCTCCACCACAGTCCTGCCCCTAGTGTTAGGGTTGGGAATATAAAGATAAGTAAAACACCAATCTTGGTCTCCTGGAATTGTCAGTCTGCTGGGGGAGAGAGATAAGTAAACAGTCAGATGTATGATAAACATTATTGAAGAGTTGAGAGAAAACTACCTAATTTAGCCTAGGGAATTGGAGAAAGCTTCCTGAAGGATGAATTAGGAGTCAGCTAAGTGATTGAGTGAGTGAGGACGAAGGATGGAATATTTCAAGCAGAAATAGCATGTGCAGAGATCTGGAGCTGAGAGCTTAGCCTTTTTAAAATTGCTTTATCAGAATTATCTGGAGGGCTTGTTAAAACACAAATTACTGGACCCTACTACAAGAGTTTCTGATTTAGTAGGTCTGAGGTGAGACCTGAGAATTTGCAATTCAAACAGATTCTCAGGTGATGCTGAGCGTGCCGGTTTCAGGACCACTTTTTAGGAACCAGTGCTTTAGAGAAATGCACATAGTTCATTATTGGCTTTTTTTGGTTTGTTTGTTTGGAGGGGAGTGTGGAGAGTTGTGGTTAATGAAATAAGCATTCTAGATGTAGGAATAAATTAATATTGAAAATATTTGTACTTAATCTTGAAGCTATAAATAATCACAAAGATTTTAAGCAGGGTTGTAATGATCTAACTTGTGTTTACCAATGATGATTCTTGAAGCAGTGTGAAGAATGTATTGAAGAACAGCAAAGCTAGAGAAAGGGAGATTAGTTAAGAGGCTGTTTTAATAATCCAGGTAAGAAATCATGAAGGTCCCTGCTAATGACAAGCAGGAGAGCTTGAAAGAAGTGGATTTGAGAGGCATTAGGAAAGTAGAACTGACAGGATTTAAGGATTGGTTGTGGGCAGGGACAGGAGTCTTGGATAACTCAGATTTCTGATTTAGGTGGCTGGGTAGATAGTTGTACTTTGCGTTATGGTAGTAACAAAACCAGAGGGGCAGCTCTTGGAGAAGAGGGTTAGGTGAATGTTATAGATATCAGCGTGTGGATAGTAATTAAAGTTATGGATAGATAATTCCCTCAAAGAAAGTACATAGAGTGAGAAAAGCTGAAGCTGGAGTCTTGAGGAATACCAGGATCTTAAGGATGGCTAGAAGAGTAGTGGGCAGAACCAGAGGGTGGTTTTGGAAGGGTGTGATAAATTTAAAGGATTTGGTGCATGTATCTAAAAATTGAAGAGCTACATAGTTTATAAATTTAATTTGAAAATGTGGCTTCTGAGATTGTTGTGTGTGTGTGTTTATATGTAAATAGAAATGATGTTAGTATTCCAGTGAGCCAGATAATCTGGATAACATGCTAACCTTAAGTTTTCATTGAATTCTTCAGGTCCTGTTTATAGCAGTTCTTCAATAAGAAATCAGTTGTCAGAGTATCACAACAGTAGACAAAAACCTGTTAAAAAATCAAATCAGTCGTCTAAGAGTGTTGGGAAAAAAACTATTCCACTTAAAGGGCAGAAGAGAGCTACTCAAGGCAGGTCAAGAGCACAGAAGTTTTTAAATGCTAAAGATTCTGGAGGAATTACTGACCATGATGAAATTCCCAGTTGTTCCCAGAAAGAGTCAGTGGAAAGTGACGAAGCAGACCTGGCCAAGAAGAAAAATCTTGATCATTCTGGGTAATGTCTGTTATGTGTACAATATAGTTATTTTTGTTGTTCAGCATTTAATAGTCTGTCTGTGTTATTTAATCATTTAGGGGCAGTATTAGCATAAAGGGCTCTGCAATCTTACCGACCTGGTAGTAAATCCAGGCTCTGCCCAGGCAAAGTAGTACTCGGAATTTGTTTCCTCATATTAAAATGGGGAATAATATATAGCACGTGGGATATGAGTGATAAATTTAATAAGGTAAGTATTATTGTTGCCTAGGAATTGCTTCCTTTTTTTTGTTGTTGTGGTAAAAACATACAATATAAAATTTACCATCTTAATCATTTTTAAGTGTACAGTTCGAGTTGCTTCCTTTTAAGTGAGGTTGATGTGATTTCAGTAAATAGGGATACATCTTAATACTTTTCCCCCTAAGATGATAATAGTTATGTTTCGAGTGCTTATTCAAGTATTTGCTAGGTGCTTTCAATGAATTCTCGTCAGTCCTAACAACCTAGTGAATTAAGTATTATTCTTATGCATCTTTGCTTATTGATGTAGCATTTATTCTTTCATTTATTCAACAAATAATACATATTATGTGTGAGAAACTGCAGCATATTGGGGATGTATCAAAATAAATGATAGAGTGCCTTAGAATATATTAATGTATGTCATTATGGTGCAAAAATAAACCCCATACACATTCTAATTTTTTCACACCATTCTCATATCTCTTTTCTCATTGTTTCTTTTTATGAAATATTTCAAGTATACCAAAAAAAAAATGAAAACACCTGACTCCCCATGACCTTGCTTAAGAAATAAAACATAGTGACCATTGAAATCCCGTGTGTACCTTTGCTGAGCCCATTACTCTCTTTCCCTTTTTAGAGGTAGCCACTACACTGAATTTGGTAGTTATCATTCTCTTGGATGTTTTTATACATTTCCTACATGTGCTTTTATATATAAATGGTATGTGGTTTTGTTTTAAAACTTTTAAAAAATGGTTTCATACTATACCTGTCCTTCTGTGACTTGCTTTTTCCATTGTTTATTGTATACTTTTGAGATTATTCGTGTTGATAAATGTTTTATTTTCATTCCTTTATAGTGAAGGTTGGCAAACTTCTTTTTTTTTCTTTTTTTTGTGAGGAAGATCCGTCCTGAGCTAACATCTGCCAATCCTCCTCTTTTTTTTTTTTTTTTTTTTTTTTGCTGAGGAAGACTGGCCCTGGGCTAACATCCATACATCCATGCCCATCTTCCTCCACTTTATATGGGATACTGCCACAGCATGGCCTGACAAGTGGTGCATCGGTGTGCGCCCGGCATCCGAACCGGCGAGCCCTGGGCCGCTGCAGCGGAGCATGCGCACTTAACTGCTTGTGCAGCCACCGGGCTGGCCCCGGCAAACTTTTCTTAAAGGGCCAGATAGTAAATATTTTAGGCTTTGCTGGCCAAGAGGCATAGTCGAGGCTATTTTGTAGATAATTAACCATTTAAAATGTAACCTTTGAAAAATGTAAAATCCTTTCATAGCTCTCAGGACTTAAAAAAACAAGTGGCTGGTTGAATTATAGTATCACCTTGTATGGGTATGTGAAAATGTATTTATCTAGTTTCTTGATAAGGTTTTCTAAGTTTTCACTATTAAAAACAATTTTTCACTGGACATTTTATACATGCTTCCTGTGCACGTGTATAAGAGATTGTCTATAATATATACCAAGAAGTAGAATTGCAGGATTTTAGGATATGTACATGTTTAACTTGCCTAAATACTGCCAGATTGCTCTCCAAATTGGATCCAATTTACAACACCGCAGGAATGGTGGAAGAATTCTCATGGCTTCATGTTCTTACCAAATGTGTTGGTGTTAGACTTGTTATTATGTGTCGATCTAATGGGATGTATCTCTGGATTTAATTTGCATTTCCATATATTAGTGACGTTAAACAGTTAAACATGTTTTTGTTTGTTTCTTGCCCATTTTTAAATAGATTGACTCCTTGTAAATTGCTTGTTAATACCTTTTGCTCATTTTTCTATATTTCTTAGAATTGATTTTTAGGAACTCTATATACTTTGGCTTTTTTTTTTTTTTTTTTTAAAGTGAGGAAGATCAGCCCTGAGCTAACATCCATGCCAATCCTCCTCTTTTAGCTGAGGAAGACTGGCCCTGAGCTGACATCTATTGCCAATCCTCCTCCTTTTTTTTTTCCCTTTTTCTCCCCAAAGCTCCAGTAGATAGTTATATGTTATAGTTGCACATCCTGCTAGTTGCTGTACGTAGGATGCTGCCTCAGCATGGCCCAACAAGTGGTGGGTCGGTGCGCACCCGGGATCCGAATCTGGGCCTCTAGTCGCGGAGCGCACACACTTAACCACTAAGCCACGGGACTGGCTCCTGTACTTTGGCTTCTAATCCTTAATGAGTCACATGTATTACAGATAGCTCTGAGTTTGTGGCTTGTCTTTTCACTTTTTAAGGTTGTCTATGGTGTCTTTCTTATGGAAGATATAATTTTAATGTAGTTGAATTTATCAGCCTTCAGTGTTTTGAGCATTTGCTGTTTTATTGACTCTAAAGTCATAAAGACCTATTTTTCTATATTCTAAAAACTTTAACTTCCTTTTTTTATATTTACTTCTTTAAACTATCTGTAATTTATTTTTGATGTGGAGTAGGAGGTCTAAATTTTTTTCCCCCATGTAGATAATCAGTTGTCTAATCAGTTTATTGAATAGTGCATTTCCCCCCCTACTGACTTGTAGTGCCCTCTCTGTCTTATATGAGATTTCCATAAAGGCCTTACCTCAGAGGTATTGCAGATTTGGTTCCAGACCACCACAATAAAGCAAATATTGCAATAAAGGGAATCACACAAATTTTTTGGTTTCCTAGTGCATATAAAAGTTACGTTTACACTATACTGTAGTCTATTGTATGTGATAGCATTATGTCCAGAAAAACAGTGGACATACCTTAATTAAAAAATAGTTTATTGCTAAAAAATGCTAACCATCATCTGAGCCTTCAGTAAGTCATAACCTTTTTGCTGGTGGAGGGTCTTGCCTCAATATTGATGGCTGCTGACTGATCAGGGTGGTGGTTGCTGAAGGTTGGGTGGCTGTGGCAATTTCTTAAAATAAAACAAGGAAGTTTGCCACATGGATTCATTCTTTCTTTCATGAGCAATTTCTCTGTAGCACATGGTGCTGTTTGGTAGTATTTTACCCACAGTAGAACTTCTTTCAAAATTGGAGTCAGTCCTCTCAAACCCTGCCACTGCTTTATCAACTAAGTTTATGTAATATTCTAAATCCTTTGTTGCCATTTCAGTAATCTTAACAACATCTTCACCAGGAGTAGATTCCATCTCAGGAAACCACTTTCTTTGCTCATCCATAAGAAGCAACTCCTCATCCATTAAAGTTTTATCTTGAGATTGCAGCAATTCAGTCCCATCTTCAGGCTCCACTTCTAATTCTAGTTCTCTTGCCATTTCTACCACATGTGCAGTTGCTTCCTTCACTGGAGTCTTAAACCCCTCAAAGTCATCTGTGAGAGTTGGAATCAGCTTCTTCCAAACTCCTGTTAATGTTGATATTTTGAATGTCTTCCCAGGAGTCATGAATGTTTTTAATGGCATCTAGAATGATGAATCCTTTCCAGAAGGTTTTCAATTTACGTTGCTCAGATCCGTCAGGGGAATCACTATTTATGGCAGCAGTAGCCTCATGAAATGTATTTCTTAAGTAGTAAGACTTGAAAGTTGAAATTACTCTTTGATCCATGGGTTGCAGAGTGGATATTGTGTTAGCAGGCATGAAAACAACATTAATCTCATTGTACATCTCCATCAGAACTCTTGGGTGACCAGGTGCATTGTCAATGAGCAATAATATTTTGAAAGAAATACTTTTCTCTGAGTAGTATGTCTCAACAGTGGGCTTAAAATATTCAGTAAACCATGTTGTAAACAGATGTGCTGTCATCTAAGCTTTGTTGTTCCATTTATAGAGCACAGGCAAGGTAGATTTAGCATAATTCTTAAGGGCCCTAGGATTTTCAGAATGGTAAATGAGCATTGGTTTCAACTTAAAAGTCACCAGCTGCATTAGTGACCCTGACAAGAGAGTCAGCCTGGCCTTTGAAGCTTTGAAGCCAGACATTGACTTCTCCTCTCGAGCTATGAAAGTCCTAGATGGCATCTTCTTCCAGTATAAGGCTGTTATGTCTGCATTGAAAATCTGTTGTTTAGTGTAGCCACCTTCATTAATTATCTTAGCTAGATCTTCTGGATAACTTGCTGCTGCTTCAACATCAGCACATGTAGCTTCACCTTACACTTTTATGTTACGGAGACAGCGTCTTTTCTTAAACGTCATGAACCAACCTCTGCTGGCTTCAGACTTTTCTTCTACAGCTTCCTCACCACTCTCAGCTTTCATAGAATTGAAGAAAGTTAGGGCCTTGCTCGAGTTAAGCTTTGGTTTAAGGGAATTTTGTGGCTGGTTTGATCTTCTGTCTAGACCACTAAAACTTTTTCCATATCAGCAATAAGGCTGTTTCGCTTTCTTATGATTTGTGTGTTCACTGGAGCAGCACTTTTAATTTCCTTCAAGAACTTTTCCTTTGCATTCACAACTTGGCTAATGGTTTGATGCAAGAGGCCTAACTGGCCTATCTCGGCTTTCGACATGCCTTCCTCACTAAGCTTAATCATTTCTAGCTTTTGATTTCAAGTGAGAGATGTGCAACTCTTCCTTTCACTTGAACACTTTGAGGCCATTGTAGAGTTATTAATTGGTCTGATTTCAATATTCTTGTGTCTCAAGTTATAGGGAGGCCTGAAGAGGAGTGGGAAGAATAGCTGGTGGGCGGAGCAGTTGCAATACATACCATTTATCAATTAAGTTTGCCATCTTATATGGACATGGTTTGTGACACCTCAAATCAATTAAAATAGTAACATCAAAGATCACTGATCACAGATCACCATAACAAATATAATA